GGATGATCCCTATTGTTTTTGGTGCATCGATCCCTAGGGGCAGAGCCACGCCCATTTCTTGTATTTGTCGTCTACAGGCCGCATTTCTTAACACATCATCTCGAAACTTTGCATACTTATTCTTTGTACCCTAAGGAACATCCCTATCATCGTTTGGGGTGCATGCCCAACCCCCAGGGGCAGAGCCACGCCCATGTTCTTTTTGTGTGTCTGTGTGTCGCCTACAGGTCACAATTCTTAATCGATCGTCTTCCCTAAGGATGATCCCTATTGTTTTTGATGCATGCCCGACCCCCAGTGGCAGAGCCACGCACATTTCTTCTATGCATTGTTTGTCATCTACAGACAGCATTTCTTAACGTACCACCTTGAAACTTTGCATACTTACTCCTTCTATCCTAAGGAACATCCCTATTGTTTTTGGTGAATGCCCAGGCCCCCAGGGACAGAGCCACACCCATTTTCTTTCTGTGTGTCTGTATGTCACTTACAGCCTGCAATGCTTAATCGATCATCTTGAAAACTTTTTTATACTTATAAGTTATACCCTAAGGCTGCCCCAGGGGCAGAGCCACACCCATTTTTTCTTTGTGTCTCTGTGAGTTGCCTACAGGCCACGAATCTTAATGGATTGTCTTTGAACTTGGGATATGTATTCCTTATAGCCTAAGGACGACAACTGCATGTCACGACCCCCCGGGGCAGAGCCACGCCCATTTTTTATGTTTATCCTTTACAGGCCGGAATTCTGAATGGATCAACTTGGTATTTGACATATGTATTCCTTATAGCCTAAGGGCATCAACTATTGATTTTGGTGAATGCCCCGACGCCCAGGGGCAGAGCAACGCCCAATTTTTGCCTTTAACACCCAAAGGCCACAATTCTGAATGGATTATCTTAGAACTTGGTATACTTATTCCTTATACCCTAAGGACGGCAACTATTGATGTTGTCATTTCAATAACAGGATGGTACCTATTTATATTGTTTCCATATCCAACCCCCATGTGCAGAGCCACGCCCAGTTTTTGTATTTATCGTCTACGGGCTGCAATTCTGAATGGATCATCTTGGAACTTTGCATATTTATTCCTTATACCATAAAGACAGCAATTATTTATTTTGATGCCTGCCCCGACCTCCTGGGGCAGTGTCACACCCACTTTATTGTTAGTATTTTGTCTGTAAATATGGCAAAACAAACCCGACGCCCCTAGCCTTCTTTGCCTCTGATCATATTACAGCCATTTCATATCTCATTCTCTTCATTTTAAAAAGTACCATATCAATCAAAGCTGGAATGTGGACGTATATTGCAGCGTTAGCGATGCTCTTTTTTGACTAAAAAGGGTCCTCATATGGGACACATTCACGGGCATCTAAGTAAATATTTAAATAAATATCACATCTTGTATATGAATCAGTCAGGTTATAGAACATCAAACTTTTGCCTTACAGCCCTAACTCACATTATGGAAAATATATATGATGCTATAAATAATAATCTTTTTTTTTGTGACACAATATTTTTTGACTTCAAAAAAGCAATTGATCTGGTCAATTATGATATTTTATTGACGAAATGCAGATATTTTAAATTTTTTCAAAATGCATTACAATTCTTAGAATCCTACTTAAAAACAGAAACCAGTTTACTTTCGTTAATGAAGCCTATTCACTATGGCGTACCTCAAGGATCGATATTAGGACCCCTCTTGTTCTATATTTTCATTAATGACTTGCCATTAAATCTCTCTTCCAAACCTGACCTCTTTGCTGATGTTACAACAGTCTACACCTCTGGTCCAACCGTTGAAGTTCTCCAAACAAAACTACACTTGATGCCGACAGAATACAAGACTGGTGTAACGAAGACGGAATGAAACTTAATATAACAAAAATCAAAACAATGCTCATTACAACTCATTCTCCCCACTAATAAAACTCGACAATGATTCAATAGAAGTAGTCTCATCCTTTAAACTTTTAGGTGTCGTTTTAAATCATAATTTAACCTCGAAAGACCATATTCTCTAATAAATTAAATCCCTCTCTCCTACCGCACTTTTTTTTTTATTATAATGCTCATATTCAGACACATTTTGATTACTGTTCTCCAATCTGTTACTCCTGTGACTCCAAATTTCTTGAATGTCTGTCTCGATGATAAATTATGGCTTTTAATACTACTGCTTAATGTCGATCATACCGATGAACTGTACCCAACAATAATACCTTTAAACTTTTAACAACAGAAAACCGTCATGCCTTCAATTTATGTAACTTTATTTCCAAAATTTTATCCAAGCAATGTCCTGATTATCTGCTCAATCTTCTGTCTTTCTATGCATGGGCGCAGATCCCGGTGGGGACACCGGGACGCGTCCCCACCAATATTTTTAATGGTGGGAACATGATATACTGTGTCCCCACCACTTATTTCCGATGTTTTGCTTACTGTTTATTTTTTGAAATTGAAATCATTCCAGCGCTTTTATTGACATTTCAGAAAGTGTAGAGTTGGTCCCAGGCACTTGAGGCCAGGGTCCTTGAAGTTGTACAGGTGCACCCGGTGACCGATTTTTATTTAACAGGGAATATGTGATAATTCATATTATAACAGTAAATAATTAAAATATTCCATAGGGATTATAATAATATGTATATATAGGTGTGCATATCTGATACGCTGGGTATTAAATAACTAAGATTTTGTTTTTATCTGGTATACTGGATGATAAATCACGCAAATTATAAAATTCCAAACACGTAATTTCTAACATAACATCACCACTGTCACATTCAAAATAGATAATATAATACATCTATGTGAATCATTAAAATAGCTATGGGAACAATATAAACAGCTAGATTTAACTTTAAAAAAAGCGAAAAGTTATTTTTTCAATGTGGTCGTCATTTTGTAATTTTAACGTGGGGAAATTCGCCTTTGCCATCGGATTTTTAATCACCGATGAATAATACAGTAAAATGTTACATTTATTTCAATTGGGATTGAATATTGATATGTTTAGCTGTGTGTGTGGCTTGTTTTAGTATATATAAAATAAAAGATTTGTAGGCCTGTCCATTTGTGTATCCAATTGAATACACATTTTGCTCAAAGACTTTAGTAGTCTTCGAACACTACTGGGAATGGAGGTGGAGCTGGAATCTCAATAGTGTAAATATTTCTAGTTCTTGTAGTGTACATGAGAGAATAAATCGTGAACGGTGGCTTGAAGATTTGTCTTTAGATGAGATTTCGTATCATTTGCTGCCTCAGGGATTAGAATTGTTTGCCAGAAAATGATGCTTTAGAGCGTCTAGTTTTCAAAAAATTTCGGGGGAGGACCCCCCAACCCCCCTCTTTACCAATATTCGCCCGCGCATGGACTGTCCCCACCACTAATTTTTGGCGATCTGTGCCCCTGTTTCTATGAAACTCCCTACACCAACATTAATAACAAACTAATCACTCTGCGACCAAAGCTTAATATTGTAAAAATACAGCATCCGTTTTTAAGGCTCAAATCTATGGAATTCTTTACGATCTTACTTAAAACTGACACTTTAAATTCTTTCAAGAAACAACTTTTTAAATATCTTACAGCCAAAGAATAATACTCGTACCCTTTATGTCCATATATAAAAAATAATGTATAGGTAATTTTTCCTTGTTTCACATTTTTATGCTATTGTAAGTTCTATAACCGATAAGGACAGGTTTTTTTCTTCTTGCATTTATGTTTAATAATTGGGATTTTCAGAATAAACACATATGACAAGCGACAATCAGGATCTACATCGAGTGCAGACCACATAGATAATATGCAACCCCGCTTAAATGTAAGTCAATCTTGAAAATAAACAGATTTGTGTAATGGAAATAAATAATTGACCTGGATACTTATTTTCTACATTCTAGACACGCGCACATTTTACCTATTCATCATAACAGATTCATTGACATCTGTCAGCTAAGGTTAGGGTGTGATATGTTTCATAATTTCCACCTACCTAATACACTAGTATTCATATCCTGGGGGTCAATGATAGGCTCCACTCCATAACCGAATGATGAAGGATACGATATTACTTCGACCCACCTCGACGGTTAGTATAGTTTCGATAATTGAGCAAATATTGTCTCCGCTTAGTAAAGAAGGAATATAACAGGATCGAACTATAGACTATCTTCAATTAGATTGCTTGCAAAAGCTGAGACAAGTATGACAAATATACACATTTTAGCTTTTTATTTACAAGTTATGATTATATAATCATTTCATGGGTTTCAAGGAGGTTAACAAGGCCGTAACCGTTAAAATAAATACTTTACTCTGAGTAGGACAATGCTTGAAATTTTGAGAAATAGACGTGTCAAAGTCAAAGGTTATGTTAGTAGACCGGAGGCTCAGCGCGGGGGGGGGGGGGGGGGTGTCCATCAAATGGGCACAAAACCAGACCCAACTTTTCTAGAGTAAAATTTTGCGTAGAATACGATGCCGAGTGGTAATCAGTCCGCCGTTGGGGCATTTTCGAGATATTCGGGGTCAAAGGTCAAATGAGTTCATTTGCACTGAAAGTGAATGCGCAGTCATTCTTGTATTATGAAAAGAAGCTGAAAATGATCGAAAGTAATCACAAAGTAATTGACCTTTGACCCCGAATATCTCGAAAACGCCCCAACGGCGGACTGATTACCACTCGGCATCGTATTCTACGCAAAATTTTACTCTAGAAAAGTTAGGTCTGGTTTTGTGCCCATTTGATGGACACCCCCCCCCCCCGCGCTGAGCCTCCAGACTATAGGTATTCAAAATTAATTACATTTGTTTCCATGGAGTGTGATTGTGGTCCTTTAAATACGTATTTGTAATATTATTCAAAATTTATTAAACTTATTTTCTGGAGTGTGATAGTGGTCCTTTAATAAGTACTTATAATATTATTCAAAATTAATTACATTTATTTTCTGGAGAACGATACTTGACCTTAGATAAGTGTTTTGTAAATGTAATCATTGTGTAGCACGCCAGTGTTGCGTGTATATACTCGTATCACAATGTCATTATGGCATGCAACAGCATTGATTTTGTTTCTGTACATATATTTCTCGTATACTGGGGGTAAGTATAAGGACTTATCTTTTATGTGTTTTTTTCTGCTTAAAATCCAGTTGACGAAATGTAAATAAATTTTAGTAAGATGCTTTATTCAAGAGCTAAATGTACCTATTGCAGGTCTTTCTTTTAGCTCAAATGTTACATAGATTATTAATATGACATTTATTAACATGGCAGGATCATAATCAACTCTCTAGAACATCGTGATTTAATAATTTAATTAAAAACTGGATAATAGAGACTTTATTTACTATTAACAAAGGTGGCAATGATAAACGAGACTCCGCTATTCTCCAAACAGCCATAACTTCGCTAAGAATCAAGTAATTTGACTAAAATTTTCATTATTCACATTGTCAGCTCTTGAACTAAATCTTACATAATGCACATTATGAATCGAGTTATCTTACAATGCCATTTTGCTTGATGTTGCAGCATAACGTATAGTCTTTCGGATGGGTGAAACATGGACGGGTTCCGTGTACATATTGGCGTGCACGTAAAAGTGGCATTGACCATCTGTCCATCCATAACATTTTAAGGTTTGTGACTTTGTAAAAACCAACAAGTCCATTGTCTCGAAGATTTGCATAGTTGTTACCGACATATGAAAGATATGTACTGCCTAGTTTTATTTTTATGCGTTTTAGTTTTTGCAAATTCAAGAGTAACGAATTTACGATGTTTCACAGTTTTTCAGGCATTTAACTGAAACTTTGCATTGTTGTTACTAACAGATTAACGATTAGTTACCTAACGATGCGCCTCCAATATTTAAGACTGACTTATATTCTAAACATCATACTGTGCATTTCGAAGAAAGCTCGCTTATTTCTGACAAGAGGTTTGCTTAAAATAGTAATTTTGTGTCTCATTTCTGGTATCTATAAACACACGTGATGTAATATAAACACGTGACGTTAGCCGAATACTCGAAGAGCTCGATTCCATGGGAGCCACGATATTGGTCGCAAAATTCACCTGGATTTTACAGCGTGGTTTCCCTGTATCAGTTGAGAAGGCGGCCCGCCTTGCAATGTACAGCATGCACGTAAGACAACACTTGATAGTTAGAATTCGATATAAAAATAGGCCTTAGCGCCGCTGTCCGGGCAGAATTTCCCTCAATCAATTGAAGGTCAATAGTCTATAAAATTACAATTTACCACCTGATTTATCGATAAGTCAAAAAGTATTTACTGCATCTTTATTTAGCTTTCTGTGTCGGTTTACCCCTCTAACGGAAATCCTGCTCACATCAATGAGTTCATGGATGACTTATTTTTTAATATTATCAAATCTCGTAAATGACACCTCATTTGTATTTTGATATGAATTAATATTTTTCCGCAGTTGTTTAAATTCAAAATTTAAAAAATTGTATTTAAAATTGATACTTTGCTTATTGACATTAGCTTAAAGGAGCTAAATCGCTAATATTTGGGACCTAGAAATTGACAAAAATGGGTCGCAATGCATATAATAATGTAATATGAATGTACATAAACTGATTTACATTCAATCGTTTCAATTTTTAATGTAATTTCTAATAAATTATGTTCGGCGAAATATGCCAGAAGTCTCATGTGAATGGCAATCTGTAGCGTCTGGTTTTTCCAGTCTACACCGATGGTATTTATTGCGCATGCTATCCAGATAAGAATATAGCGTCACCATTTGACATGACTTGTGGAATATGTCTAGCTCCGTTCTTTGAGTCCCTTGTTCCAAATGGCGCTGAAACGCATTATGGTACACGATTCGTGTACCAATGGTAAAATTTTTATTTTGTCTTGAATATTGGATATCAGAAGCCCATCTTTTACTTGTAAGATCACAAGACCAATGTTGATTTGAATTGACAAATAATTCGTGTTTTCAATGTCGAAGATTTTTGATGATATTGAGTTAGAGACTTAAGGACGTTTGAAATTCGAAGACTAAAGGTACTTTATCGAACACAATGTTAACGTTTATAAAACACGAAGTGTTTTATTACTGCATGGAATACTATAGAATACGGGATAATTGTGTATATAGTGGTAGAAATCAAACCATTACATACCGATATAATGTTCCGGTAAACATTGCGGTATTTCCGCCTATTTTTGAATAAAAACGATTAAAGAAAATGTTCATGTAAACAAGACAGTCTATGGAAAATACACTAATACATATAATTCTGACATTTGGATACAATGTCAGCTCTCACTACCAATTTGTTTCATATTGAATCATGATTAAATGTATTATGATTCAATATGAAACAAATTGCATTTAATCATGATTCAATATGAAACAAATTGGTAGTGAGAGCTGACATTGTATCCCAATGTGTCACTCATAATGCATTACGTATTACGCCATCTAGTCCAGATCAAGTTCTTTTACCAGAAAAGTGCACTGCTCAAGACGATTTATCCGACTGCCAATTAACGATTCCAACTTTTTATTCTGTTACTAATGCTGACCGTGTTTGGAATGGCATCTGGATTTAAACTCTTTTAAAAACTAGTATAGTCCCAACAATTCACAACGCAAGTCCCCGCATCGTTATCGAAATGGTCGGAAAACACAGCCTTGTCGCTGAACTTAAGTTACCCAACAAAAGAATTGCACTGTGCCTTTCTGCTGGTTTTTGAATTTGGTTGGAAATTTTAAAATAGGTCACTTTCCATTTTGTCGGTCTGATTTAAACACCCAAAAGCTGCACATACATTCATCAACCGTTTGTTGACGTAACTATTAATCGTAGATTTGACTGTTGTCCAGTGTAGTGATAAAAATAAAATAAAACCAAGTACGAACAATCCAAACCATTAGACAAAATTCCTAAAAAACGGTATAGGCAAACTGGATTGTTCATCATGTTCAAAGTAAAGTGGTAACAGGTGTCCGGAAGAGTAAGCTTACCGTGTCTGGCGCCACACCCACCATAGCTGCATCCAAACCTTTAGACGTAATCTCGGTAAAATAGCGTAATTAGCCAATGGACTTTCCGTATGCAAAATGCATATGCTGAACAGTGTTATGATTTCTACATAATCACTAAATTTAGGATTATTCAGTGATAGAAATTCATCGATTATATCGATAAGTGAAATTAAAACATCTGACTAATCGTCTATTTGTTTTTGCGAGTGCCTGTATATAACCGGCTTCGTGAGAGAGAGAGAGAGAGAGAGAGAGAGAGAGAGCTTAACGTCCACTCGACACAAACTAGGTCATTTCGGGACTAACATATGGTTCAATTTTATTTCGATAATTCGCTTGCGTAGGGGTCTTTAGCAGTGGGAGGAAACCGGGGGACCCGGAGAAAACCAGTTGACTCGATGACAGACCTTATGATACAACACGCACCCGCCAACCATTCGCACCCCCCCCCCCCACACACACACAAATCAGCAAGCAAAGGTGTGCAGTTGGTGCCTATGGGGATACCTACCACTTGCTGATATATTTCTCCTCCAAATTCAACAAAGATATAAGAGCTAAATCTGGCTATTGCAGGTCTTTCTTTAGGTCTGAAATGTTATCTAAATTATTAATTAGACATTAATTAACTTATCCAGACCATAATCAACTTTCGATGTCATCGCTAGCCTACGATATTTACTGGATTAGAATCCGATCTGCTGCTCAACGCCCATTGATGATTAAATAAAAAAATGCATAATCGAGACTATGTCTTATCGTACCGACTTTAGTTATGATGATCGAGACTAGGCCTAAAGTTCAATCGCTAAATTCTTGGTTCAGAGTGGATCAATTTGACTGAAATTTTCAGCAAATTCCCTTTACATTAGCTACTTTTTAACTATTATAGTGAGGGCTGCCAGCTCTAATCTCCCATAATTTATCTTTAAGAATTCCAACATCTGAATTATCTTGTTGGTGGTGTTCTTATTTTTGGAATTACTATGGTTTTTGACAAAATAATGTGGAATTGCAATTAACAACTAGATATTCTCTAACAGATGAAAAGACATTGTGAATACTGTCTTATTCGATAAAACAATAAAATTAAAATTAAAATTAAATAATTTTGTAATTTTCAAAACATAAATCTTTTTTAATATTGTGTTTAGCAGCTTGGGTGAACCTTTCTTTTAACGGTACTTTTATGTGCACGTTAACTCGCCACCCGTTTTATTGTCAGTTCAAAGGGCACGCGGTTAGAAAACCCGAAGCTTATAGCAAGCACAAAGCTCAATGCCTGTTTGAACAAAGTTCATTTTTATCTATTTCAGGACAGTTTCTCACATCGCAGCAACCGTATGCTATTCGAGGTGAAACATTTACGTGGGTGTGTGACATACGAGGACAACAAAATCCAGAAAATGTTGTGTTTATAAAATTCAGAAGTCGTAGATCTGACACCCTTTCCATTTGTACAGTTAAGATTAATGAGTGTTCGTCCAGACGTTCAAGATATTCAAGATATAATTGTGGTTGTATCAATAACGATACCTCATCTCTGTACCTGACTTTAACTAATATACAGGCTGACGATGAGGGAAAGTGGGCCTGTAAACAATCCAGCAATACAGTTTACCCTGTCTACCTTCCTGTCTACTGTAAGTAATGAATTGTTCTGTATCAACCAGGTTGTTGTTGCTGCCATTACCGACAACTCCCCACCCTCCACAAGAACCGCGCCCACGTCGCATATCGGTCCAGTATTCACCCGTTGATTCGATACTTATTGAACCCATCATCGTTCCGAAGGTAATAAAATAGATTTCATATTCCTTGCCAGTTCGATGTACTTGCGCTACCTGAATGGTTGAAGTCTAAACCCACATATTGTCTCACATAATGAACGGACACATTACATTTCGGCCAATCGGGTGTTTTTGACTAATTCGTTGGGCAATAAGTCCGTTCATTATTTGAAACTTCTAACTTGGTGTATTATGGGACAAATAGCACTCTGCCCCTGGTAAGTACGGTGTGTCATTTCACTTTCGAACTGACGTTTAGCACCATTGATCAAGACGCCTCATTACAAATTGAGCTCGAAAGTACACCATTGAGTGAAACCATGTAGTGTACCGTGTCCGAAATGTTGGATAACAGGAGCCCAATGAACCAGTAATTTGGGTTTGTAATGTCGAGGACTCTGGGCAATATTGAGTTGAAGCTTTACGCTCTTTTATTTATGACTAGGGGTCACAAAGTGCCATGGTCATTCTAACATTTGTGTATGTTTGTTGTTTCGTTTCGCAAATGATTTGTATATTAGATCATGTCCTCAAAATTATGGCATATAGAGAAATATATTTTCTCTTCATATTCTACTGAAACTGGTGTTTTGTGGTATACCATATTAATATTTAAAATATTGGTAGAAGACACCTCGCATCGCTTTTGTCTTACTTCATCTTTCAGAAAAAAAACTTTCCATAAAAAGTATTCATTCTGCACCCCCACCCCTCTCCTAAAGTTTCTTTTACCTCTTTACATTCTTAGAAGAATTTCACGGACAACGTCCAAGTAGGCCACGTATGCAGGTCGTGACCTCTTGTGTTACAAATGGAGCGGATTAATCATTTGACACATATATCGGCATATTTTTCAAGGCCCCATTTCAAACATGTATGCAGTAACAATATAATCTAACAGTTTATAAAGATTCGTACACACGTATAGAAGCCATGCTTTGATGGGTGTATAGAACAATATGAATAGTTGTCAACAAAGGATTATATTGAATATTTTGTTGTTATCCCGATACAATTTAGACACCAATACACACTTAGTTTGTTTGTCCACTATTGTGCAAAATGTTGTAATCACTCTGTTTTCCAGATGGACCTGAAAATGTGAGATTTCGTTACAACACACGAGATGGGTTGGGTTTTACAGAAGGTGAAGATTCCACTCTGACCTGTAATGCTGACTGTGAGCCACAGTGTAACATACGGTTGTATAATAAGACTATTAACACAAGTGAACCGTCATCTGTTAATAAAAACCAACTGTTATCATCTAATGGTTCACTGTCATTAGTTAATATTAGTAGAGATATTAACGGTTCCGCTATAATTTGTCAAGCAGTACACCCCAATTTTAGCGGAACGTCGGTCACGGCGGAGATCAAGTTAAAGGTTTATTGTAAGTATAAATTTCATTTTTACCAAATGATTACCAACAGCCTTGCGTCTATAGCGACTGTCGGGAAATACGGCAACGACACCCTTTTTTGTAGAACTTGTTTTGAAATGATCTTTTAAATCACATTTTCACATTTTTAAAGCTTGTGAACGCGGCTTGTGAGAAACTATGTGGGATTTGGGGTTTCGAACGCTAATAACAGGACACTAAACAGATAAGGCCATAAGGAAGAACCTTATCACATTTCTTAAAGATGCATTATGCAAGAACTAAATGTTATATATAACTTATTATTTAGACATTTATTCACATGATAAACCCCATAATCAACTCTCTAACCATTTAAAATTTATTGATAACGTGGATAATCAAGCAACGGTACTCAACAAACGGGACTATCTTGTTAAGACTTCAAACACTCATAACTTCGCTCAGAATAAAATAATTGAAATTTCAATATATTCATTTCTCATTATCTATTATGAACTTTTATAGCAAGAACTGTCAACTCTTTATCTAAATCTTACCTAGTGTATCTTTGTTATTATTTATATTAAAAGACTTCTAGGACCGGAAAGAAATTTTATTCAGAGATTTATTTGGAATATCATAACACAAGTTTTAGGTTAGGTAGTGTCATGGCGTCGGTGTTATCGGATACAAATCAGAAAGGTTTGACTTAGAAAGATGGGATTTTTTAACTTAATAGAATGAAATGGGGTTTCACTTCCTACTGTTCTGCTACGACTGGGCTAATGAAGACTGTCCATGAGGGAAAATATGCCAGGACAGAAGGGCTACGGCCTGCTCTTAAATAGAGATCTTTCACGTGCCCGCCAATGTCTACACGGGACTCGTTATTTTTTTTTTCGTCCCATCTCAACGTCTATACGCTGTCCCTTGTCTGGTCCTCTGTCCTGCACCGAGATCGAACACGGGACCTCCGGGTTAGCGATACACTGAGTCACCCGAATTTAATAGGGCTTGACGTTGACGTTTCAGGAAGATGAGGTGTTCATTTAACGTAATAGAAAATGATATAAACTATGGCCAGTATTATATACTCTGTATTGGAGAATGCTTCCCTATTAAATAACCGCCTTGTTTGTTTATATTTTGAAGATGTCGCCAGAAATATCGTATTTAGCACGACAGATAATGAAACAGTTATTGAAGGCCAGGACGTTAACATAACATGTTACTCATCTGATGGCTGTTATCCACCTTGTACCTTTATATGGCATCATGACTCTCCATATAGCTATTATTACAATTATCACAGACACAGAAGTAATTCTGATATTGCAATATTAAGTATGAAAAGGGTTAACAGAGAGAGAAGCGGTGTATACAAGTGTGAAGCACGTCAATCTCAACGTCCAGGACTACACAAATATAGAGAACTGACACTAACAGTCTACTGTAAGTTTCAAACTGATTCAATCACGTGCCCCTTTTGTTTATTTTATTTTTGAAGATGTGCTCTATATGTACTCTGATTTTGGTATTTCACTTTCCTTGAAGCTGGAGTTCAGATCACTTCATCAGTTGACTATTAAAATATGTCTGGGCTGCGGTTGTTATTGGCGGGGAATTATGAGAACATAAAACTCAGAATAGCAGATCGAACGATTTTAATAGAAAGACGGCTGGATTATAATGTGTAAAAATGAGCTATGTTTATTAGGTAATAGTGGACCCTTTCCCATTTCAATTCCAAAATGTTGACAGAGCGGCTTAATTGTAAACGCTTTGCAGGCCAGAGTTTTTAAGAGTTTTTGTTTTATTTAATAGCTGGGATTTAGACAGGCGTGCAGTCTATGGAAGTACTAGTTATCTCGGATTTCTGTATTAATTGCACCAGTTTATGCACTTTTATCTTAGACCGGATCGAGTGAGCAGAAATCTGATTTTCGGAATTTTCCATAATGATTGGCATTTCAGACGCGTTTCTTAGTGAACTGCCGATTCAGGCCAATTAAAGGAGACTATTTTCCTTAGCAACGACGACTTGCAATTGCAATGACATATAACAGAAATTGAGACTTGCCTTTTATCAGTTACACAAAAGAAACCACAGATATAGGTTCGATCAATCCTTCCTGTGGTATGATAAATTTAGACGTTAAAACGAAATGAGGTATTAATAATAACCGTTGTTCGGCTATATTTGATTTAGATTGGGTATGCTAATTGGTGATAATGTTCTGGGAATAATGATTTTGCATCTTATAACTAATTTCAGATCCACCAAAGATCGAATATCTTAAATCTGACGCCCCTAACGAAATCGACGAGGGATCTAGTGTTACTTTGTTCTGTTCCGTGGACAGTGTTCCAGATTCGAGTATTTCCTGGTCCAGATCAAAGGAAAGTCAACTCCCAACAACTGGTTCGAAGTTGTTCATACCCATTGCAACATGTGGACATGCAGATGATTATACATGTACGGCTGATAATGGTGTTGGGCAGCCCAGCACCAAAACCATCTCTGTATATGTGCGATGTAAGTTAGGATTATATTGTTCGAAGGTCGAAAATAAGGAAATTAAAGTCCCTTAGCCCAGACAGTATATTTTGCATGATACCAACATTTTATTCTGTTATATTTTTCGACTGTTTTGTCCTCTGTGTCCTGGTCGGAGCGTTAGTAACATGTATATTGATCGGATTAGAACCCCGAGATCCGATGTATCGTACAAAACAAGCAGTATCAATCCTGGAAAGATTGTGGAAACCATTTGAGTTGTAAGAGCTGTACATTACCAGATGAGTTGAGTTGACCTTTAAGGTCACCACAAACCCGATGTTACATGGTTTTTTTTAACCCCCCCCCCCCACACACACACTTTAGTGTAGGCGAATTATGTCGTCATTCTCTTCGTTTTGATCTTTTACTCCCTTTCCCGAAAACCTTGTGAACACGATAGAGGCTATAGTTTTTAACGGATTTAGGTCGTTAGAGAACGAACCCATCAATATAGTTTTCAACGGATTCTTTTCAAATTTATCTCACGAAAGGACGAACCCTTGTATCACAGCCTTCTTTTGCAGTGTTATGCCCCTTTGACGATATTGAACGCCCCGCGACCTTCCCTACCAGAGCTATGCCCCCTTTCTGAAAACCTTGTGAGCGCGATAGAGCATAATAGTGCTAAGCGGACTTCTTCATATTGTTGCCATGGGCGGACGAATCTTATCGACATTCAGCATTCCGGAGTTGTTCACCGCCCCATTTTTCCTAAAACATTGCGTACACGATGGAGGATACGACTTTTAAACGACTTTATGAAGCTTGTGAACATGACAGAGGTTAAATTCCTTGAAGGCATACTTTTCAAAATTGGTCAACCTGCTGCCATGACATAGCTTCTGTGTGGGGTTATATTTATTTTTAATTTGAATTTTTATAGATATTAAACTGTTCTCTCCAAAGTATTTAAACTTGTTTGGTTTCCCCTTTCAATACAAATCTTCCAATAATTGATCAAAACCAAACCACAGTAGGGTGTAGCGCTGCTGTCTAGGCAATAAGCTCATTCGCTGCAGAAAAGTAGGACGTTTCAGCTTCTACTTTAGAGGTGTTAAACTTTTCTTGCTCTCGTATCTCCAAAATGTTCAAACTTTTTTTTCTTGACAGGTCTTCCAAGAATTGACCAAAACCAAACCACAAACGGTAAAGGGGTTCCAGTTATTGTTGGCGATGATAAGACGGCTGTGTTAACTATACATGTTATAGCGTACCCCCTACCTACATTTAAATGGTATCGTCTGTATTCTACTGGAATAGAGAAACCACTAACTGATTTCTCTATTAAACAAACTGATACGCTGTTGTCATCGACACTAACCATAGAAGACTTTACAGTTGAAGACAATGGTTATTATAAAGTGTACGTTGAGAATTCTATTGGTGTTCGATCACATGTCTTCTTGGTATCTTACAAACCAATCATATAAAATATAGATATTTTGTACGTTCCCATTTCTATTTGGACGAAGATTTATCAGCTTCTTTATTAATTCCCCTTTCCTTTTGAAGTTTATCTTTAGATACTAGATTATTTTTGAACCATTTTCACCCAAGCCTAAACATCTCCTGTTTGACTGGATTAGAGGTCATGTCGGGTCAACTGAATACGACTTCATAAAGATGTTGTTAGACTAGTTTTGACCTTTCTGTAGTATTGTTAGTATAAACAGGAACAGGAAACCGAAACGAAAGTAGGGTATAATTTAATAGAGAGAGGGGTGGGGGGAGGATCGGGTTGAACGTCCACTCGACACAAACTGTGTCATTTCGGGACTAACATATGATTCAATATTTCAATAATTCGCTTGCGCGTGGGGGTCTTTAGGAGTGGGGGAAATTGGAGGACCCGGAGAAAACCCACGAGGTTGGACAGGCGACTCTATTCCTGGTCATGTACAAGCTGGGAATCGAAACCACACCACTTGACTCAATGACAGACCTTCTGATCCAACGCATTCGCGTTAAGCAGTTAGACCCCCCCCCCCCTTACCTATAAATTAATAAAGACAAGTAACGGTAAAGGTAAAGATTGGTCTCATTCGGGCTGGTACATGGTTTACCTTGGGTCTTTGTACATGTAAATTGCATATCTTTTTGGGTCCCACATATAATAACCGTCCAATTGGTTATTTAGTATAATAAATCGTTGAATTGGGATCGTGCTTCTTGTGCATTTTTTTTCAAAATTTACTTATTATTTTAGTACTGTGTTGAATCATTATATCTATATCATGTAATCCTACCATTGTACTCCAAGGCTTATTTTGTAACTGCAAGTTACCGATTTAAACGGAGCACCGAGTCAAACTAACCTCTTTTCTTGCCTTTAGGTTTCTTGTGAACCCTGATCGGTTACGTGTCTATTTCTCATTTGTTTACGTTACTAGTTTATACTTATAGCAGGTGATTGATATATTCCGTTGCTTGACGTTTTTTTTTATTGTCTTCCGAATGTTTATTATTAGTATAAATATGTAATTTTATTTTTCATAATTTGTTTTCATTAGTATTAGATTTACAGATGGAGTACTGTATTGCATACTATATGTGGCCTACCGTTACTCTTGTAAAATGTCAAAAATTGATTCTATGTGAAACAAAGAACCAAAATAAATTACGTAATTGATGTCGAATCAAACGTCGACCTTAGAAGGTTTACGGTAGCGTAGGCCTAATGCTACTTCATTATTGGGTTTCATTTTAGAATGTTCACTTACCATTGTCTGCACATTGTCTTTCGCTGCCTTACGATTTGGTACGTACAGTATTTTTCTAACCATATAAGCCGATGTAATAAATAAACAATATGTTTTTATAGTCTACAATTGTTTTATTTTTTATTTACAACATTTCATATAATAGAAAACCCCAGTGGGCGCGAGATCTGAAAACGGGTGTCTGATAAATTCTTTCAATGTATTTAATAATTGAAAGGGAAATACATAGGTAACAATTCAATGGAATACAATTATTGTTTATTACTGTGCGACGTCTTGGCGTGGATTCTATATACTAGACTTTATCATGCAATAACCAGTAATTGTGACATGGGTTTCCTAAACGGGGTTAACCGTATACCACAGGGTATCCGTTGATACCAGTGACCAAGATCTTAACGCGAGGTACCCAGATACCACAGGGTATCCGTTTCTTTTTTTAAAACAATATTTTTATTCAGGATATCGGAATAGGATTGGGGAACAGGCCTAGCCCATCTAAAAGCCCTACAGGGTTAATACTAGTGAGTGAAATCTTAACGCGAGGCACCCAGATACTGTAGGCTATCGGTTGATACTAGTGAACGAGATCTAAACGGGAGGTTACCCATAGATACCACCCACAGCGTATACACTGATATTTGAGAGTGATACCTTAATGGGAGGTTATCCGTATACCACAGGGTATCCGTTGATACTAGTGAATGAGATCTTAGCGGGAGGTTACCCAGATACCACAGCGTATCATTTGATACTAGTGAGCGAGATCTTAACGCGAGATACCCAGATACTACAGGCTATTGGTTGATACTAGTGAGCGATTTCTTAACGGGAGGTTACCCGTATACCACAGAGCGAGATCTTGACGCGAGTCACCCAGATACTGCAGGCTATCGGTTGATACTAGTGAGCGTGATCTTAACGGGAGGTTACCCAGATACCACCCACAGCGCACCCGTTGATACTAGAGTGCGAGATCCGTGAGCAAGGTCTATGTTCAGGGTATCAAGATAATTTAGGCTATCGGTTGATACTAGTGACGAATATCTTAACGATAGGTTGCCGAGTAGTGATACTAATACAGGGTATCCGTTGTTACTATAGGGAGCGAGATCTTAACGAGAGATACCCAAATACTGCATACTATCCATTGCTACTAGTGAGCGAGGCATTAACTTGAGGTTGCCAGGATACTAAAGGGTATCATTGATAATAGTGAGCAAGATCTTAACGCGATGTTACCCAGATACCACTGGGTATTCGTTGATACTAGTGAGCGAGATCTTAAAGCGAGGTTACCCAGATACAACAGGATATCCATAGAGAATTCGGGACCTTAACGTTATGCCATATTATGACAAGCCTTAAGATATGATTATATAGACACTGCTACAGGTGCCAATTTCAATACCTGTCCTTAATCATACTGACAGTATATGTTTCTCCAGATACGTTTCTAAAGTTCCTTTTCCCGATTTGACCATTTTTTTAAAAATTAAAAGCTATCTGATACCTCACAGTGAAAACATTACACAATTAGAAACGACAACAAAATTGTTTCATAAAAATGAAAATTTGAAAATATCTAATTTTAAAAATTATAAATTTTCAAAACAGCAATGAATAAACTCTTGAAATAGAAATGGCATCAGGTATTAAAAGGTTTATCTGTAATAAGTATATGAATAATTTTAGTATGTGTTAGTTAGAGTAATTCACACTGTTTGGTCAAGTTTTCTAATGTAAACCGTATGGATATGTCTAATTTAGAGAAATTTAGAAGGCTACTCTTTAAATTAGAGATATCCTGGCTGTTTAGAAGGCTGTTTAAAAGTGTTCTGTGAATTACAGATATTCTGGCTGTTCAGAAATATTCTTTAAATATAGACATCCTGGATGTTTAGAAATATTCTTGCAATTACAAAGATCCCTGGGAAGTTCCATTTTTAACTCATATCGTATTTACTGGAGACGGTGTGGGTTAGAAGACATATTGAAAAAACCACCATTAACATCTGAAACAAATAAAGCTCTGTTTTATTATGATGACAATTTTGATATGGGCAGCGATTTTACCCTGTGTGCGATTACGCCACCTACAAACCAATCTTTTCTAAAGAGTTATGCCTCAACCACAGGTCCAGTAGTTTCTGTACGGGCCACCAATTCATAGGCCATAATCGCTCTACCGCCATTATCCGATCTTTAGACATGCCCCCAAAGCAACGACCACGATTTTACAACATCTAGACTCGAACTTATAGCTAGGTTATCTCCCTTTTTCGTAGATACGTGAACGAAAGCGTAGAATCAAAGATTTTTGAAACAAACATACTCAAATCAAACATGGCGACCTCCACGGAAATCATGACATTGACGGAACCTTGAACTTTGAAACTCGATTATCACAGGTGGACATTTTAACTGGAAAGCGCGAGACATGGTATTCGCGATGACGGAGGTAACTGATATCAAACCCCATCCCCAACCTGGGTCAGTAGCCAATCGAAATTAGTGTTGTAATATGCAGTATATTACGTGGAGGACTTGATAATACGTACGGGATTAAAGCGAAATCAAGCCTTTTATTCAAGATGATCTTTAGGTTATTTTATTATTTTTGTTACAGCTACCTATTGATGACTAAGAGCAATGTCGAAATCATCAAACTAGTCACCGGGTAGTTAATCTTTGTAGCGACGTATCATAAAGCATAGAAGTGCATTTTACAAATTGGATATGCCAGCCACCGTGACGGGCAAACTCCTTGAGTATCGATGTTCCTTGCTGTCTATATTAAGGAGTTCCGAACTATAAATTGTGTAAACTTTGGGAAGTATCATTACCATTACTTAGTCTAGCTCTCACGATGGCATTTATTTGGATGAAAAGTTTTTCAACAAATCAAAATGGTATGACATTTAATTGTTTACATACATATAAGGTAAATTTTTAAATATATTTCAATGTGAAATTGTTTACTTGTGTTAAACTATATTTTATGTATATTTTGGCTTGATATACGGGTAATTTAAAAATATATAATTTGTAACCGGGTGATTAAAACCTTGCGTAGAGCCAATCGTTCTTTATGTAACACTACTTGTCGTTCCTACAGAAATAGCGAGGGGGTTGGGTGGTCGAATGGTTAACGCGTTCGCGTTGCATCATAAGGTCTATTATTAAGTAAAATGGCATGGTTTCGATTCCCTGCTGTCCAACCTCGTGGATTTTTCCTGGGTCCTTCGGTTCCCCCCCCCCACCCCACTGCTAAAGACTTCCCCACTGAAATAAAACTGAACCATATGTTAGTCCTGAAATGCCCTATTAGTTTGTGGCGAGTGGACATCTCGCTCTCTCTCTCTCTCTCTCTCTCTCTTCAGAAATAGTGTAAAGCTGTCGAAAAGGGAAGACAACTCTTGAATACTTACCTCAAAAGTTAAAATACATACACCCAGACCAATTACTATTCCCTGGTAATTGATAAACAATTGTTCTATTCTTGTTTTACAACCCTATAAAAAATAATAATACATTTAAAAAATATATATACATCAACACATATTTATCAAAATCCATATCTAATTAATATCTAAAATGGAAATTATTCTCCAATGTTTTATTTTAGCTTGGAAAACTTAAAACATGTTTTTCTCTCTATTTCTTATTAGGGATTTTACCGTAACTGAATTAGTCGGATTTTTAAACCTATGATTAAGAAATAATAAACGCCCACACTACATATTTCTATTGGACAGAGTCCTTGTTTGTATCTTTCAAAGAAGTAGCCCAACCCACTTTTATTAAGAACTACTAAACAAATATACGAAATTATGTCAATGATATTTCATCGAAAATAAATAGAGAAAAGATAATCCAGACACGTGTTCTAAAGTATAAAAATCGATTTCCGGAGAGGCTCGACTGGGTGACCGAATCTAATCATTATATAATTTGTATAAATCATAGATCTAACAAACATCATGAACGAAAAAGTCAGCCATTTCCGTCAATACCTTAAACCTTATAGATGCATTATTCAAGAGCTAAAATGCCAAATGCAGATCTTTCGTTTGAGCTCAATTGTTATATAGATCATTAATTAGACATTTATTTACATATCAGGCCCATAATCAACTCTCAAGAACTTCGGGTGGTTTTGATTTTCAACAGGTTTCAATACAACTGGTGGTTAATGAATAAATTTAAAAATGGTTAATCGAGACATTGTTAATTAACAACAGTAGCAATGACATTCGCGACTACACTGTTCTGCAAACGACGATAACTCTGCTCAGAATGAAGTAATTTGACTGAAATTTTTGACATATTCCCTTTTCACTATGTATTTTTTAAAAACTATTATAGCGAGAACTGCCCGAAAGAGTATGTGTGTCGTGCATATTTAAAAAATCTTAAACTGTGAAACAAATCCTCACCGTTTCAAAGTAAGAGTTGTTTTTATTTGGATTCATCATACAGTCTATTTTTCTGAGATCATCTTTAAAACAACATGTAGCAGGAACTTTTACCACCGAACCATCCTCCATTGTTTTATTCCATTTACTATTATTTAGAGTAAAGTCTGTACCATTTCTCCATCCACAACATTTCTCCTGTGGGTTAGAATAATTCGAAGGCGTATTAAAGAACATCGAATATTACAATGTGCAGCTATAATACCAGTGATATGCTGGAGTTACTAACGACGGGAATGGGTGATTTTGTGAGTAAGCCGGGAGCACACAACTTTTTTTAAAATGGTGCACCACCATTTTCTTTTTATTCTGTATTGTTCAATACGGAACGCATACAATGATCAGACGAACCGCTTCTTCATTCTTTATAATCCTTTTAATTATTTCCACTTTCTTATCCAACTGGTCGATGGGCTGTTCACAATATTGATAATTATTGATAAGACAAATTACCAAAAGCATTCTTATTTGAAAACCGATCTGTTCAGATTGAGAAATTTGCCGAACTAAATTTCAGTGTGAACACAGCTTAAGTCTATTTTGACTTACTTGTTGTTGTAAGAGGTTTAATGAAGCTGAAAACGTCCCGTCTGTATCGGATCCATCATAATACAATTCAATTTTCTGCAAAACGTCAGCATCCAGTTTTGTTTCCCACTATAACATAAATGGAAATTATAATTATTTTGTTTCTGTTGTTAGTAGAACTTGGTAGCTCATACACTCTGGTATGGCTAATTAAAATGGGAGATATACAGAACCAAGATAATTCTCTAATATATCTCGTTACAAAAAATATGGATCCCTCAAAGTTATCTACAATATGGACAAATTTCCACGTCCAACGAAAATCACATAAAATTTTATCAACTCGACATTTTATTTTTACCAAATTAAATAGTTCCAGTAATTTAACACAATTTTTTAGTATACACAAATAAATCATTATTCTGCGGAGAAAATTATTATATTGTTATAGAGATGGTACAGTACAAGTACTTCTATGTTTACGGTAGATAAATACATAAAAACAAATAAAAATGCGTCCGGTTAAGAATTCAACCACTTTTATTTCTTCATTCTGATCAACATCAGTTCATAAGCTAGCTGTCTGCTCATAATTTGATCGTCTTCAGATGTTATAATGTTTATAATTATAATCATGTTTTCATAGTTTATCATCCACCTACCCTTTCTTTAAATATAATACCAAGTGTAACGGCAGCAACTTCAATACCAATCAACATACATAGCAGTATAACATACTGAAATATACAAAAACATACACAGCATTATAACATATTGACATATACAACAACATACACAGCATTAGTGTATACTGAAATATAGAAACACACATAGTAATATAACATATTGAAATGTACAACATCAATCATGGCATTATAACATATTGAAATGAACATCATTTATAGCATTACAACACGCTGCAATATACACTAATCATAGCATTACAACATACTACAATATACATCGATCATAGCATTATAACATTAATTTTTTTTATATTTTATTGTTATTTCTAATCCACTGTGTTGGTGAAATACGCGAACAGTCCAAATTGAAAGACAGTAGTTCATCGGATTTTCCGGCGTGGTATCTCCTTGTCAGTGGTGCAGGACGAAGGGCCTGTCAAGAATAGCTATCTAGTCGTTTGGAATGGACGAAAAACCGAGGTCCCGTGTGCATATTGGCGTGCACGTAAAAGATCTCTTGGCAGTTGGAATTCGACATAAGAGTAGGCCTAATAGCACAGTCGGAGCAGAACAGTAGTACGATAAATCGTCATTTCATTTAATTTTCCTTTAAAGCCCCGCTCCCCTCACGCCCTACAGTAAAAGTGTACCATAGCACCTTGTCAAGGCAAAATTTTCCCCACAGCACACTGTATAGCGTATACCTGTCTACAGCTGCACGGTTGGTCGAGAAAAATAGCACGTTAAACCTCATTTCCTTTCCTTTAAACGATAATCATCGATTTTGCGAGACTTTTGATGACAAGCGAGGCTTTTGACGTCATGTTAAATGTTATAATTAGAACGGTTTGTATTTGATATAGGCATTAGCTATATATAATTAATAACAGAGTGGTCTATAGAACACCATTATTTATGATATTCATTTCATTAATTACTATCTTCATTCACCTATTGTAACTCCATACCGAATTTGTAAGATACATAAACACCTGGTCGTTTTTGCTATTATAGTTCAAAAATAGATAATGAAACATGAATGTAATTAAACATTTCAGTCAAATTACTTTATTCTGTGCGAAGTTATGAGTGCTCGAAGTTCTGAAATAGCTGATTGTCAAGTATTAGTTTGAATCATTCTATGTGTCTATGATTAGTCTGTGTCTACGGTTGTATGCCGTCCATGACTTGCCATGTTTTTTATTTTGCAAAATTCAAATATTTTTCATATAAATATATATTTAGCCAGGTGTGCCGTTGGCAAAAAAAGGTTGAGAACCACAGATCTAGAGAGTTGATTATAGGCTTGTCATGTGCATACATGTCTAAATAATAATTTATAAAACATTGGAAGCCAGAAAAAAGACCCGCTTTACTGAACATTATTACAGATTTCACCAACAAATCAATAATAAATGTCAACAATTGGATATGACAAATATGTTTTCAAACATGCAGAACTGTCAGCCGCCCATTCAAACTTCTGTAAATTGCCTGCTAGTCGTGATAGCGGCACTTCTAAGGCTTTTAATAGGAAAGAAATCCTAAAAAGTTGCCCGTAAAGATATTGATTTTCACTGTAATATATTAAACATACATTATGCAAGAGCTAAATCTTCCTATTGCAAATCTTTCATTAGGCCTGAAATGTTATCTAAATTATTAATTAGACATTAACTAACTTATCCAGACCATAATCAACTCTCGATGGCATCGCTAGCCTGCGATGTTTATTGGATTACGTTCCGATTTGCTGTTCGACCTCCATTTATAATTAAATCAGAAAATGGATGATCGAGACTATGTTTTTTTATCCTACCGACTTTAGTAATGATGATCGAGGCTAGCCCCAATATTCAATAGCTAAAATATCGGTTCATAGAGGATCAATTTGACTGAAATTTTCAGCAAATTGCCTTTACGTTATCTAGTTTTTAACTATTATAGTGAGAATTGCCAGCTATTTTACTAATCTCCCATAATGTATCTTTAATGGTTATGTAAATAGAACCGCTAAATATGGCTTTGCGTGTTATATGTATTAGCATTATAAGAAATAATGAAATGAAATGGGGTTTAACGTCCTACTGTTCTACTCCGAGCGGGCTAATGAAGATGGACTATAAGAAATAAACGTCGTATCGTTTCAGTTCGCACCAAATTGAAACAATGGCTACACTAAAATGTCCTTCAATTCTGCAAAAGCCCTAAGAAACGTGTGCATTTCAAAGCCTGGTCCAATTGACGGTAATCTACACTAACTTATATAAAGCACGTGCGCGCTGTATCAGAAGGTCTGTTATTGAGTGAGATGGCGTGGTTTCGATTTTCCGGTTGTACATGACAAGGAGTAGAGTCGCCTGTCCAACCTCATGGGTTTTCTACTGGTCCTCCGGTTACTTCCCACTGCTAAAGACCCCTACGCGCAAGCGAATTATTGAAAATAAAATTAAGCCATGTGTTAGTCCCGAAATGACCTAGTTTGTGTCGAGTGGACGATAAACCCCATCTCTCTCTCCCTCTCTCTCTCTCTCTCTCTCTCTCTCTTGTCGAAACGTCGTGCTAATATAATAAAATCAGTGATTGTGTTGTGTTAAATATCCTTACTTGTGGTGGCTGATTGGGAATCAACCCGACATCACGACATCAAGACGCGATACCTATCAGCCACCACACTAATCCGACTATATTTCGTTGTTGCCGAAAGAAATGTCTTATCAGCCACCACACTTACCCGACTATATTTCGTTGTTGCCGAAATAAATGTCTTTTATTTTCTTAAAGAATTGATCGCTTGCTTAAAATAATAGATACCGACTCTCTGATAAAGGGAAAAAACCCCGCAAGGGTCTATGCATGTGAGGCCACAGCTTTATCAATACGCTAATTCATGTATACATTCTGTCCAACATGGCGAATCCCGCATGCACATGGATAGAAGCTTTAAGCTTGTTCGTGTTCGAGTACAGAGTGACTGCCTGGAGACTAAAGCCAAGGTAACAAATGGAGGTAGATCATATTATTAATCACATGTATATTTGTATTAATTAGTGATCCGATTTCTCATGGGAAAAATTGGGAGCACATCAAACAAATAGCTCAGGTGAATTATTAATTGTTACATTATTAGCGTGGCCTTTGGCTGAAGTGATCCGTTACTCGTGGGAAAAGACGAGGTTGTCATTTATGGCAATCACACGGCTTTCGTTTACGAAGCGTAAAAAAGAATCAATCGGATATTAGAGGCCAATTATCGACCCGATAGAACAATAATAACACTCGCCGAGATTAGAATGGCACACGTTATTACACAATCAAAATGATACCCATAATATTAACTAGGTTTCCGAGTAGCCCATTGTTCCCTGAAGAATATAATATTAAGTGTATCAACGCGTACTGTTAATAAATATAACAATAAGTCAATTTAAAATTTCCAATAAATTACGGATACTTTAAACCAAACCACACGCCATAAATGAACGAAAATTTAATGCGTTCGATCGTTGTATGAATAGTTTGAAACAGGAATCTAAATACAAGTGGTGGATGTCGTGCAGTGTATGTTTCCTAGTGGTTCATCTTGTTCAGTTTGTCTGGTTTTCTGTACAGAATTAAAGTTGTTTTTTTTAGAGGTTAAAAATATTTTGTATTTATCAGCTTCTTAATAAAATTGTGGGGTATATGATACAATATAAGCAATATTATGAAAATGACAGAGTACACTAATTATTTCACATTCCAATTGTGACCAAGTAAGGACTTTCTTTGCTTTTAAGTCAAAACAGTGGTTTCTTCCATCCTCATAATGTCAAATAAATCCAAACCTTGATCGCATTAGATCTATTAGTCGCACACTGAGGTTAAAATGTGGACTCAGAACGAGAAGTGTTTTAAGAACCGGCCAAGACGAAAATGAAATGAAATGGGGTTTAACGTACTACTGTTCTGCTCCGAAATGAGCTAATGAATACGGGCATACGCCATACAGTGTGCTATGAGGGAAATTTTGCCCGGACAGCGACACTACCGCCTACTCTTATATCGAATTCCAACTGTTAAGGGATCTTTTACGTGCATGTCAATGTGTATACGGGACCTCGGTTTTTCGTTTCATCCGAACGACTAGACAGCTGTCCATGTCAGGCCCTCCATCCTGCATTACTGACAAGGGGGAACCACGCCGGAAAATATGGATGAACTTTCTCGGCCAATGTAGGGATAGAACATCCGACCTCCAGGCTAGCGAGCCAGCGTCTTCCCCACTTAGCCACCGCCCCCACCCCCCCCCCCCCGGGCCAAGACAAAATGAAAATTTATACTTACAAAACCTAGCAAAAAAACGGAGTTTGAGCGAGCTGCTGCTATTCCTATCAACGCAAACAGTGCTGTAGCCGTGCCCGCAGATAGTAGAACAATGGCACCTTCTTTAATAAAATCTTTATCCACTACGGAAAGGTCGATGATGTTGGAGTAAGTCTTGAAAAAACTTTGTTCGTCGACAACTACCCATATTCCCGTTCCTAAGGACACTAAACCAATAATCTGTAAAAAAAAAAAAGGAGAAGGTATATTGAATTAAAGAATTTGAGATTTTCAGTAGGTTCTTAATTCTCTCGGTTGGAAGTTGTCTTGAAACACGCCCAGTTTCATAGTTATTATCTCTTACGCTTTCCTGCAAGATTCGAAACTAAGCTTTGAATGCACAGCTGCATGGTTACAAATAAAGCACAACATATAATCTGTCGCTTCCATTGGGTGGTTCTTATCGATATGTCCAGAAAATTGCCAAGGTATGATCATGAGCACGAATAAACGTCGACGAGCTCCATATTTAAAAGACATTTTGTCATTCGAATAACCGCACTGTATATAGAGGGTAAAGCCAGATGTAATTCTTAGCTCAACAGAAACCTGGAAAAGGTCCTTTTCATGCGATAAAACAAAGGGTGTGGATTTATTCGGTCGAATACGGTATTAATCAAACTGATCAGCAGCTAATTACAGTAAGGGTGGAATACTGTATACAGTTCAGATATTATTGTGAAACTACTTTTTGAATTGTTTTTAATAATTAATGAAACGGTTTAAAGCAGACACGAAGCAAAGATATATCGTATTTACTGTTGACCTAAATAACACAGGCATAAAGGTAATAAAAGTACCACTTTAGCCTGCACCAGTAAACAAACCAAGTTATGATTTGTAACAGTTTTGTTTGACTTTGTTAACTCATATTGTATGACCTATCGTTACAGTCATCGATTGCGAATAAAAATGAATGTTCATGGTCGTGTAAATTCAAACAGATGGGATTACCCCACTTATGTATCTCGAGATTATGATGCAGTGTATAATATGGAACAGTTTGCGTAATCCCGTGTTTTAAATTTCGTTATTAGGTAATAATCATACCAATATTGGTATATTTCGTGTTATTATGTAAAATCATACCAATATTGGTATATTTCGTGATATTATGTAAAATCTTACCAATATTGGTATATCTCGCGATATTATGTAAAATCTTACCAATATTGGTATATTTCGTGTTATTATGTAAATTCTTACCAGTATTGGTTCATTTCGTGTTATTATGTAAAATCTTACCATACCAGTATTGTTATATTTGGTGTTATTATGTAAAATCTTACCAGTATTGAAACATTAACAGCTACAATGCTGAACTTGAGAAAACTCTTTAAAGACGGACACATTTTTAAAAATCCTGAAAAACAGCACAAACAGATTTACAGAAATATAGAAAAACTCTTTCGGTAATCCTAATCCTTACTGTAGACATCACAAATATAATCAACTTTTTAAAATTGATTTCGTTTTTTTTCCGTATAAAAAGTCACCGATTTGAATTATTCTTTAGTCCCCAGATTCCGTAACGGACGCTTCTTGTGTTTAACGTGGATGAGTGTTAGGGAAGCTAACTCTGGTAGTCGTGGACCGAGATTCAAATCATGTTTCTGTAATTTGTGGCCGCTGAGGTATGTGGGCTTGACAGCTAGGGAAGGCGTGCCGAAAGTTTTGAATTTGAAGAAAAACCGTCTTCTTCTCAACTTGTGCACTGTAACTGACTTTAAGTGACTTATATAAGGTAGACTCGGACACCGCCGGTTTGTGATAAAATATAGTAACAGCCAAAAAACCCCCCCAAAAAACCATGTTAGTCTCAGGATGACCCGGATAAACCACATTCGTTTTTATTCCACCGTGTAAGATCTATTTTTTTCTATTCTTCTCTATTCTCTATTCTTCATGGGAGTTTTCTTTCATCTATTTCTTGATCTATTTTAGCTTCTAATGTACAAAAATATAAAACTCGTTATGCATTATCTTATAAAAAAAACTATAGACCTTTAATATACCAAGCCCTTTCTGTATAATGTATAAATATTCGCCATCTTTTATTGTTATCTCTTGGCTTGATAACATCTGATATATTCTCATTACAGACGTCTTTGGAAAGTGAACTTTGTACGAAATGGAATCATGTTTAGAAATACTTGCAGATATGGAGATATTAACTTCTGAAAAGTCCGTTGATTTTGGAAATGAAATGGATTTAACGTCTAGTGTCGTCATTTTACCTAGGTTATTTTGAGACTAACGTGTGCAATACGGGAAACGAGAATTTTGCCTAGACAGCGGCGTTACCGACCAACAGTCAAATTTCTATTACGCGCAGGGCCGGATTAAGACCTATAGAAGTCCAAAGCGATTAAAAGATTTTAGTGCCCCATTATATGTAATTCAATGATAAACCATAAAATAAGAGGTGGGTTTTTTTTTTTATAAAATTAAACAAATTCACATTTAGATTGAAAATAATGTTTATTTATATGAATTGAACAATTTCTCACATTATTTTTAAATAACAAAGTCTTTGATCAGATCACCCGAGCTAATTTACGTAACATATTTACGTTATATCCAGTCGTTCTGTTTGGATTTTTAACATATTTCACCAGAAGAACTTTTCGTGAACCGGGTCATTTGTAATTTTGAAAAGTATGGCGAGCCATGGTAATTCAGGCAATGGCAAATGTGTGTTGGGACCCCTCTTCCCTTAATGCCCTAAGTTAAAGTACGAGCTTTTTTTGATTAATGGTAAATCCAGGGTGTAGCTCGATTTGTTGCCAGACTGTCCTTGTTAGTCCCACAGGCGTTTATAAAAATCCAGGGGGTTGATTTCATTACATTCTATGGTGTAGGATAGAAGGCCTGACAAGGGACAACGTATAGTCGTTCGGGCAAGATTTCCCTTATGCCCGCCGTCATTAGCCCAGTTGGTGCAGAAAAGTAAGACACTAAACCCCATAATAAAATCCAAAGGGTTGATTTGATTACATTTCTATAAATCAAGGGAAGTCTGGATTTCAACTCACTGAACTACAAGCTGACTCACAGTTCGTATCAAAATCATTAACCTCAATTCTAGGAGTTAAACAATATTGGCAGCTTATAAAGATCTCTGTTCTATTACAAATTACTGAGCTACTAAGATCTGTATTGTTGCCTTATCGATTAGTGCATAAATAAACTGTATATATTAAAGAATACAATTACTTATTATTTAGCTTAATATTATATTTATTCAACAATATCATATTTCAATAACGAGGTGTGATATTCCATTCTATTAACTATAACAAAAACAAAAACCTAAAAATTATAATACTAGTATTTTTGTTTTGTTTTCAAATAATGTTATTTATCTTAAATGACGTATAACTTTGTAAGCGCGATTAAAGGAGAACAGAATCACAATTTTATAAATGAGTCTGCCCTTTTGTTTCAATATTGTAACAAAAGACATCACTAGGATAAAAAAAAAATCGAGCTCCCCCGTTATTAATTAAACAATGCCTTAGTGACGTCATCAATACTACCATATAATTCAATATGAATTCCCCCAGTCTTAAAAATGACGATATTTTGTTTTATTTAATCGGTCAAATTTGTTTATTTTGTGTGTTGAAAATTGAAATTGGTGTGGGGTTTGAATAGCGGCGGTTAGCAAGCTTTTAATTTGGTTCTAGAGAGCGAGAGGGGTGAATAAAAATGATTCGAACTGGACCTAGGATTTAGTTCCACCCGAACGACTAGTGGGCTAACAAGTGCGTTAAAGATCATAATCAGGTTTCGCTCCTACTTGTGACAAGAACTAGACCTGCTTGTCTAACCTCGTGGGTTATCTCTAAATTCTTCAATTTCCTTGTTAGTCCCGAAATGGCCCACTTTGTGTTGAGTAGAGATTATCCCTCTCCCTAACTTAAAGAGGCATTATTCAAGAGCTAAATCTGGCCTGAAAATGTTATCTAAATTATTAATTAGACATTAATTAACTGACCCAGGCCATAATCAACTCTCGATGCCATCGTTGACCTGCGATCTTTAGTAGATTTAAATACATTTTATGATGTATAGTTTAATGTAAAAATGGATAATCCAGACTTTGTTCATTATAGAACCAACGTCAGTAATGATGATCGAGGTTAGCCGAAAATTGAATCGTTAATATCTTGGTTCAGAGTGAAGCAATTTGGCTGAAATTTTCAGCATTTTCTGTTTTCATTATCAATTTTCTAACTATTATAGCGATAACTGCCAGCTCTTTACCTAATCTTACCTACTGCACCTTTAAACAATAATTTTAGTTGTTTTCCGTTAGGGAAAATGGCGTCATTTTTATTTTAGCGTATTTGTAGTGCAATCCAGTGTAATCTAGATTAGTAGTGATAGTGTGTGACGTAGAAAGGCTGTACTACGGTATTATTTACAATGATTCATTAATCAGACATGTATAGATATATAATTAAGATAATTTAATCATTAAATATTCACGACACCATTTCAGATTGATCTAAAACCTACTCAAGACAAACTGAGCTATATGTTAACTATCCGTATGATATCCCTATATAATTTACAGAAATAAACGTGTTTTTCATTTAAAATTAACTGATAAATTTCGATATACGGGTTTTAGATTCAATGTTGTATGAAACAAACAACTGTTTGAATATTGCATCACACTTAACTTATCCAAGAACTTATTCTAAATGAAGGTCAGGTTAAGCCTAGTTTACTAAAATTCCTCCGTAGACTGCCAATAGTAACACGTATGGCATGTTGTGAGCTAGACTTAAAGTAGCTAAGTCCGTAACTCAATATCATCCAAAATCTTCGACATTGAAAACACGAATGTTTTTGCAATTTAAATCAGCATTGGTGTTGTGATCTTACCTGGAAATGATGGGCTTCTGATATCCAATATTTAAGACAAAATAAACATTTTAACATTGGTACACGAATCGTGTATTAGCGCCATTTGTAACAAGGTGCTCAAAGAATGAGGCTAGACATATTCCACAAGTCATGTCAAACGGTGATACCATATTCTTATTTGGAGAGCATGCGCAATAAATAATATCGGCGTTGACTGGAATAACCAGACGCTAGAAACTGACTTGCAGTTTAGACTTCTGGCGTATTTCGCCGAACATAACTGGTGACAATTCACAGTAAAACGCACACGATTGAATGTAAAACAGTTTATATAAATTCATATTACATTATTATATATGGTGCGACCCATTTGTGCCAATTTCTAGGTCCAAAATATTAGCGATTTAGCTCCTTTAAATAAGCCGTATTTACACGTACGGGAATACTCGAGTTATAGATACTGAAATCTGATAATACCAGAAAGTGCATAAATGGATGAATGTAATGGGGTTTAACGTGCCGCTTTCCTCCACCGACCGGACTAATTAACTCCGTGAATACACAATGCAGTGTGCTATGAGGTAAATTTTGCCTCGTTTTTTTTCGTCCCATCCGAAATGTCAACCGTCCTCCACCAATGACAAGGGGGAAACCACGCTTGAACATTCTGTGAACTTTCTCGGCCAAAACCGGGATCTAACCCTCCTGGTTGTGACAGCCAGTGCCTCACTCACTGATCCACCGCGGTACCCACGAGATATTACTAGCCAGATTCTGTGACACTTATTTAAAACATAAATTAAATCAGAATTACACCAGGTATTTTTAGCCACGTGAACTTCTGAAATAAATAAGTGGTACCGAGTGTTCTCGAACGATACACGCTACTAATCACAGATAATGGGAGAGATAGTTTAAACTTGGATTTTCGAAGCCAAAGCTGGTCGGGATCCTGGTGTACCATTCACCCTTTAAGAAGAAGCATTTAAGTAATGGATCGCCATACACAGTGTGAATCCCATCTTCCCCCCAAGACATTTGGATGGGACAAAACGATTTCAGTGAAACGTCTAAGCCGGGGAAATAATCCCCACCCTATCATGATACACGTGACCCAAGTATATACATGCCAAAAAACGTATATCCATGTAAAAGTTCCAAATTGACATCATAAAAATCCCATTCCTTTCATTAATATACCCCATTTGAATTCGTTAATCATGAGCATCTGCGTCATACTTAAAAAAATAAATCCTAGAATTTATCATTAAAATTTTATCCAGAAAGAGAAAGCGGGTAATCAAAAAATAATACGAGTACTTACCTCTCTGGAATATTTACAACCGTTTAAGTACGTGTCCACAGAAATAAAGGTGTGGTCATTTATATTGATATATATACTTCGGTGAAAAGCGACACAGTTGGGGAACCTCTATACTGCGCACACTTCATATACAAAATACTGCGCGTGCGTCTCCACATACACTCCCCAGGAGTTGCATGCTAGCGAGCCGTTGATTGGATAATGGTTATATTGATTTTACAGTTTGTATCGGAATACGATATTTGTTTATAATTACCTACATAAGGGAGTGTAAATAAAGAGAGTATATATATAGACGTCGTATTCCTTGGAAAGGGTTAGGGTGTGTGTGTGGGGGGGGGGGGGGCGGTAACGTATATTCAACGTATTAAGGCCCATTCGGAACTTAACATGGTATATCTTTCTTTCATTAAACGCACGCTCACACGGGGGCTTAAACATGCATTATGCAAGACCCAAATCTGCATAGACCCAATACATAGACCCAAATCTATTAATTAGACATTTATTAACATGAAAAGACCATACTCAACTCTCAATGCCATGTTATATGTGCGATTTTCATTGGATTTGAATCTGGTCTGCTGTTCAACGCTCCTTTATGATTAAACGCAAACGTGGATAATCGAGACTTTGTTATATATAGCGACAGCGGTAACAATGACATTCGTGGTTTACAGTGATTTTAAAATAAAGTTTTCTTGATATTCTCTTTACATTATCTCATTTTTAAATATTATAGAGAGAACTGCCAGCTCATTATCTAATCTCCCATAATGTATCTTTAATCTCTCGTCGTCAATATATATAATATTTTGAGACAAACATGGTAATTCATATATCTAGGTTGGCGCGCAGTGTGCTATGGTGTAAATTTTGCCCAGATAGCGGCATTATGCGACCGACTCGCATAATTTCCTGCTAAGGATTCTTTTGTGTGCACGCGGCAATTGGTTTTCTTCCCGTTGTTTCTTACACCCCCCCCCCCCACACACACTATCTTTCACTACTGACATCTGTTGGGAAGTGGGTGTGGGTGTGGGGGGACGCCGGAAATTCATTAAGAACTTTTTCGCTCAACACTGGAACCATACCCGAAACTGTCAAGTTACTGAGTCAGCGCCTATCTCATTTTCCTTAGCCCAGTCGGTGAAGAACGGTAGGACGTTCAACCAATGAAATACGATGCTAATGAATGTTTCCCCTACAGTTATTATTAATCCCAGTCAATTATTAGTAATTATTTGATAGCTATTAATAACAGTCTATAGTTCGTGGGGTGGTTGACCGAGTGATGTAATGCCCAGCCAATGTTACATATCAGGATTTTAATTTTATATGGATCCAGATAGCAAAAGATGTATACGCCTTAATAAGGAATGTGAGATCACAAAGTTTCGGTCCAACTAATCACTGACATGATCCGAAAAGAGCGTTGTTTGTCAATAGCGACTGACAATGAAAGATATGTAATATATATATATATATATATATATATATATTCTACAAATCTATTTAAAGAAATCATTTAAAAATGATTTTATAAAACAGTTGAAAAAATTATGGATAAGTGGAATTGACAATAAAAAATCTCTGGACTTGTGGGGGATCAGTCACAATTTTAATCATCTGTATTTTTGTTTATATTATTTCTAATATTTCCTGTTGCCTAGGAGTAATAACAAGAGTAGAAATATTCATTATTAAAGGCATTCTGTTTCCTTCATGAGACTTTAATATGTCTTTCTGGGCGAGCGGTCTAATGTAGAGTAAAGAAATTTCCAGTTTTTTTACGGCTGTCAAACCCTGACATGATATCTGAAAAGTCGTAGTTATTAAAACATTGTGCCTTTTGCTTCCGTGGCATTGTTTGTTTATCATTATTGCTGACAACAAATTGATGTATCAAAGAACTTGATGTCAGTTAGCCCATGAAATGTTACTTTCCAAAACAACAAGGTCTGTCATTGAGTCATGTGGCGTGGTTTCGATTCCCCAATGGAACGTGAATAAGGTCGCCTGTCCAACCTCGTGGGTTTCCTCCGCCCCCTCCCCCTAGTTTGTGTCGGGTGGGCGTTAAACCTCAATTTTCTTTCTGTCTCTTTTATCTGACAATATTCTCATCTTAAGTTTTGTATATGAAATTAAGACATCTGTAAACAGAATAACACAATATCTCCTACAGAATTAGGCCCTTAATCAACTTAAAGGAAATATTGGTGTCAGTCATTATCACATATGTGATAGAACTAATTAAACACGTTCCAAATATAATTTTAACACAGAGATCGTTGCTACGATAGCTGAGTAATACAGGTTTCCTGAATCGGAAGTGACGAACGCCAAAGGAAAACACGAGGCACCCCTCTATATATCTGACTGAAGTGACGAGTGATAACAGATACATGGACGAATTTCTGCTCACTAATAATTCCTTCCAAGACCAAAAGTTGTTGTGTGAGACTGTGAGAGGATATCTGACCATTCATAAAAAGAATTGACTGCCACTGGATAAGAAAACACGAAAGAAAAACAGAAAAAGTCCGTGCATTACCATGTTTTTATAAGGTATAGAATGCATATAAACAAGGGAATGTACGGACTATTTCTATTTTTCTCGTGTTCTCTTATCTAATGACATTCAATTACTTTATTGAATTGTCAGGTATCCTCTTACAGTCCCGTATAACAACTTTTGGTCTTGGAAGGAATTATTAGTGAGCAGAAATTCGGCCGTGTATCTGTTATCACTCGTCACATCAGTCAGTTATATAGAGATATAGAGGTATGACTCGTGCTTTCCTTTGGCGTTCGTCACTTCCGATTCAGGAAACCTGTATTACTCAGCTATCGTAGCAACGATCTCTGTGTTAAAATTATATTTGGAACGTGTTTAACCAGCTCTATCACCTATGTGATACTGACTGGCACCAATATTGTCCTTTAACGTTAGAGTAACAGCCACACAAAGCCCCTAATCAGCACTTTTTGAAATATTGGCACACCTATTAGCAGCATTAGCAGCTGTGAGATTAAACTTTCTGAATATTATGTAACATTTAATGCATAATTAGTAATATCCGAATGTTGCGGGGTTATTATTGCTATATTTCCTCCCATGAAGAGAACACAATTACAAGTAAATGATTCTTTTGTCATTTCCAAGCATAGATTCTAAGTGCAGGGACCTATGTCGTAGAGCTAAATCACTGTTAATGATTGAGAAAACTGAATCGTTAGCATAATTAACGGATGTCAAATGACTTGTTTACCTAACTGTACCCCGATTTTCACTCTTTCGTCATACTCTAGATTCGCAATAAATGTATTTTAGATGGATGGATTTTAATCAAGCATGTACTATGTCTTCCTTGTATTTCAGGCGGGGGGATCACGTGGCTAAGTGGGTAAGACGCTGGCTCGCTAGCCTGGAGGTCGGGTGTTCGATCCCTGCATTGGCCGAGAAAGTTCATCCAGATTTTCCGGCGTGGGTTTCCCCTTGTCAGTGATGCAGGACGGAGGGCCTGACAAGGACAGCTATCTAGTCGTTCGGATGGGACGAAAAACCGAGGTCCCGTGTACATATTGGCGTGCACGTAAAAGATCCCTTGGCAGTTGGAATTCGATATAAGAGTAGGCCGTAGCGCCGCTGCCCCGGGCAAAATTTCCCTCATAGCACACTGTATGGCGTATGCCCGTCTTCATTAGCCCAGTTTAGGAGCAGAACAGTAGGACGTTAAACCCCATTTCATTTCATTTCATTTTGTATTTCAGGCGGCTCAGTTTGTTAGGTTTGAATATCAGTGCCAACCGCGCTGAAGCTCTAAAACATATGTGATATAATTGTATAAAAAAGGCTAAACACAACATCAGATAAAAGCTTTAACTTAGTTAACTCTCATTCGTTTTCTAAAAATAAATGAGCCATAAGAGATTTGTTTTAACTATTCAACTACGGGACTGTTTCTAACAGCAAGTGGGAGTTTATTCCAAAGCTTTGGAGCTTGATAAGAAAAAGACCTTTCTATACATGAAGAAGGGTTTTATAGATTTAAAAGATGTTGTCAGATGAACTTTAAATATTTCTTGAGGGCATGTAAGGATAGATATTTAACATCAATATTATTAAAATATTTATAAGTAAATAATAAATCTTAAAAGCTATGCCATAAACATTAAAAGTAGTATACTAATAAGGCGGGATGCATCATTTTGTACTCTTCGCAATGTATCAATAATTTAAAGAGGTAGTTCAGCTAAAATTAAATTTAACAAGTCCGGTGGTGATAAATGTGCCAGTAGGGTGTTAAACTCCATTTCATTTAATTTCTGGTAACTGCGAGCACAAGTGTAATTACCATAAAAGGAATTTCAGGAAAAGCGCATCCAGGGCCGTAAGTAGCTCAGAGCAACGAGGGGAGCGGGAAGTGTTCTCAGGGGTGCTGTAAAATTGACGGACAATGTATATAGAAAATGTTTTCAAAATTGGACTGCCGGAAACGCTATTTCCTGCACTCTGGACAGCCTCATCAATCGAGAACGATGATGCAGACGAACCTTCACTATTACCCGCACCTGACGCGTTTCTCCCCAATTATCGTGCTTTGGGCGGTGGTGGTCTCATTTGAAGAACATCTGACCAGAAAACCTCAAAATCCGTATGAGTGGAAACAATGAGAATCCCATATCAACTACCAATGTTGTTTTTACGATGGGCGATAATTTTTCACGGGGGGGGGGGGGGGGGAGGACGAAATTTTGTGCCCCCCCCCCCCCTTAGTTACGAGTCTGAGTGCACCCAACGCAAAACACGACCGACGAGACAATACAAGGACAAGACAATCTAGATACATATTGTAGAAATAAATGAAAAAAACAAATATCAAATCATAAATAATTATATTGACCATAGGTAATATTGTAAGCTTGTCGTATTGGGTGACGCTGGCACGAGGGTAGTCGCTGTCATCATATTCACAGCGCATTCTCAGTCATAGAAAGAAACCAAACCTCACATTTCTGAAATATCTTTATTTTGGCTTTCCTAAGAGTTAGGTTGACTGAAATGTGGAAACATAGATAATGTTTTAAACGAAAAACAAACATAATATTATCTTAAAAGTTTGCCCCATATTAAATGCATCTTCTTTTAAATGATTGGATTCGTACTGAAGTCTCATTATAACGTTCAATTAGAATCCTATAATGTTGTTCTTTGGAGAAATGCCAAGCTTCGACTGTATTTTATTGAGTAATTCTCGACTAACAATATCCATATTTGTTAATTGTTAAGAATATCTGACACACCTTGCCAAATTGTCACTCATGTTCCCATTATACGAATACATAACTTCCCTTTTCTACCTAGCTAACAAGTTTTTGTTGTATGCCTGCATACAATAATTCAACAGTTACATGACTATTGAAGCTTGATACAACATTATTCACTTGAACATAGGCCTAGCTGGTAAAATGGTGTCCATGACTAGCCTGTGTGTTGTTATTTTATTATTTCAAGTATTGCAGATAAAAGGTATGTTTATAACTTAAATCCTGCGTTGTCGTATATTATATACCTTATTTTAAATTATTTAAAAGTTTACGTGTATCAATACACGATACTAGTTGACAAGCTCTTGATTTCGATATATTCACATTAAGGAAATGAAATGAAATGGGGTTTAACGTCCCACTGTTCTGCTCCTATGCTGGGCTAATGAAGACGGGCATACACCATACAGTGTGCTATGAGAAAAATTTTGCCCGGGCAGTGGCACTATCGCCTACTTTTATATCGAATTCCAACTAGCTGCCCTTGTCAGGCCCTCCGTCCTGCATCACTGACAAGGGGGAACCACGCCGGAATCACATTATAGAACGCCCCATTAAGATTCATGCGTGTTTTCATCTTATGTCCAAAATTGTCTTTGATTAACCTTTGGAATTTATAACGTACAATGTGGTTAAAGTTGCAATTTCATATTTTTAAGTTATATTTTTAAAATGTATTAAAATAAAGCCTTAAAATAGATGGTATCTACAAACAGTCCTACCTTGTTAAAGAATAATCCTATTAATCCTATAATTCACTATTGCCAGTTGAAAAATTGGCAAAAATATCATTTTTAACTTCAAATTCAAACGTTTGAAGATAGCTATTCCACTGAGGGAATAGGAAAACAAGGGAGGTAATTGTGTTTTTATTTCCGGTGTCAATGAATTTTAAGTGTGGGAAATAATTATGTTTTGACTTTCTTAGAAAATACGAAATTCTCGCTTAAAAGATAGATTTATATTCGGTAATTCTGTTTTCGATTGAGGCCATCATCTGTGTATATGTGATTGGTTTATTGAAACATGTAGCACAAGTTTATTTATTTATTATATTCTTATTAAATAAATAAATGTTGCTAACTTACTTTATGGTGGGTTGGCGGTGAAATCGCTTACATGTAATGTTTACGTTATAGTAAATAATTCATTCAGAAGATAAAGGGTGGGGGTGGGGTATATCTTCTTTGCAATCCCCTTATCTGCTACGTCTTCCGGGCTCCGGATCAACGAAATAACACTGTTAAGTTTAAATAATCGTTACTAGATCTTTTTTATTTGTACCAAAAATTAGATTGTCGACTTCATTGGACTTTGTAAATTGATTTCTTTTGTGGCGTGACAATTTCTCGTTGAAATGTTTAGGTCTACATGTTGTGTTCCACTGTCAACAGGGTAACCCAAATTTAGATCGAACCTGCTCCAACACTAATGCAAATGCCATTCGACCCTCAAGTACATAAATGACGTAAACAGCTCGTGGACAGGAATCCTTTCTACACCAACAACCGCCCTGGTAGATCGAATCACAATATTTGTGCCAAATTACGACATGATATAATGTAACTCAGAGCTATAAATTAATATATTGATTAGTGTAAGACAACCTGCATTGGCCGAGATAGTTCATCCGGATTTTCCGGCGTGATCTCCCCATGTCAGTGGTGCAGGACGGGGGGGGGGGCTGACAAGGACGAAAAACCGAGGTCCCGTTACACATTGACGTGCACGTAAAACATCCCTTAGCAGTTGGAATTCGATATAAGAGTAGACCACAGCCCTTCCCTGACGACATTTTCCTCATAGCACACTGTATGGCGTATACCCGTCTTCATTAGCCCAGTCGGAGTAGGACGTTAAACCCCATTTCATTTCATTTATATGTCTGTACTTTAAATAAATGAGGAATTACATTGAGCTACTGATTGCCCTATTTTTAAGACCAAACATTTAAATAATGTTATAGTGAACACCAGTACCAACATAATTACTTTTAATACTGATCCTATGCTTAATAACCCGGATGTAACAATATCAATATCAGTCGTTGTCTTGAACATTGTTGTCGTCATTATCCTCATCTCCATTACCATTGGGATGCTAATATATAACATGATGCCGTCAGTCAAAGGCTGGGTGGTAATTATAAGAAATAATTAGTCAATTAGCTTATATGGCAATTTACAGTGAAGATCAACAACAGTCTTAATGAGTTTTGTTACACCTGGTGAGGATTTTACACATAAGATAATGCGTTCCTTGCTAAATATACATACCTTTAAAATTGTAAAAAAAAAAAAAACCCAACAAGCTATTAATAATACAAATTTTCTTTTAAAATTTCAGCCCAAATGAAAAATGTTGCCTTAAATAAAGCAACCGACCAGAGTTATACATATCGTGCGGCTGTATCATCTAGAGCTGTAGATGGTAATACTGATGCTGAATTTAATAGAGGATCGTGTACTCATACACAGCTTGTTTCACCTGGTTGGTGGTGTGTTGATTTACAATACATCTTCAGAATCACCAATATTACAATATATAATAGAAACAACAGTAAGTATACAATTTATCACACTATATATCACAAACACCAGTAAATATATATATATATATATATATATATATATATATATAGAGAGAGAGAAATGGAGCTTAACGTCTACTCGACACAAACTAGGTCATTTCGGGACTAACATATGGTTTAATTTTATTTCATTAATTCGCTTGCGCGTAGGGGTCTTTAGCAGTGGGAGGAAACCGGAAGACCCGGAGAAAACCCACGAGGTTGGACAGGCGACCATACTCCTTGTCACGTACAACCGGGGAATCAAAACCACGCCAGTTGACTCAATGACAGACTTTATGATACAGCTCGCACACGCTAACCATTCGGCCATCCCCCCCCCTCCCAGTAAATATACAATATAACCAATGCTACACTAAATAACAGAAATATTTCCCTCACAGCACGCTTCGTGGCGTATGTCCGTCTTCATTTAGCCCAGTTGGTGAAGAGAAAATGGATGTTAAACCCTATTTTTGTAAATTTCGTTATTCATTTCATACTCTTCTTGGTAGACATATTTGTATAATTACCAATCGGCAAACCTCGGCAGACTCCGTTGCCCTAAATCTAACTCGGCAGTATGACGAATTCTGCCATTGGAACCACTTTCAAATTCCCTGATTAAAAATGGCAACTCCCATGACGAAGATGCCAAAATAAATACACAATCTTGACTATCATACAAAGCTTTCAATGTCTGAAGCTTGTTTTCTTTCAAGTTGATCAGATTTTCTTTAAACAAAGGATAACTTTGCAATAAAATCTCTACAATCTTTTTCTAAAAGCAGCAAGTTTTCCTAATAAGTAAACCGGTAGCCGAGAAAAACTTACCGTCATACAGCTGAGGCTAGATGTAGGGTACTGAGTCTGCCAAGGTATGCCAAATGGGAAGTATACTTTATTATTTGTGTAATATGCTGCGATAAGCACAATTAAGAAGTATGTATTATAATTTTCAGATCAACAAAGATTACAAGCGTTTGAGATAAGGCTACGTTCTGATAATCAGTGTAATGGACAAGGACTTGTATCAGCTACATCATGTTATATAAATACACCACCAACAGTACAAGATGTATATACTATAGATAGATGTAATCAACAACCATCTACATCTTTATCTGCTAGAACAGTGTTTATTAATACTACCGATACACTTACATTGTGTGAAGTTGAAATATACACAGGTGAGTTTCGTTACCGAGTTCACAAAGGATTCTCAGACTCAAGTTAAGAATTTACCCAACTTTCAATCACTGTTTATGAGAAATATCTTTGATTCAGAAAAACAAAACTTTGCACATAGTTTCTTATTGATGTATTTGATACATTAAGGGGAAGACCAACGATTTTCAATAAGGTTTCCATAAATAATAAATATATATTTAGAAATAATCCCTCCTATAGCATATGCAAAAAATAATTTGTAAGCGAGAAATTAATTTTTATTAATACCGGAAGTGACGTAGTTGGTTCGACACGCTCACTGGTCACTATAGTAAACATACAAATTTGGAGTAAGTTTAGCGCTGTATTTTGTGATCATTTCGCCGTTTGGCAGAAAATCTGATGAAAGGGAATCTTTATTAGGATATTAAGAACAAGAACTTACGGTGTTTTGAAGGTATAATATACAACGCGTTTGTGTAAATAAAGTTTCTAAACTGGACACTGTGACACAATTTAAGCCACATGGCTAATTGTTTACATCACGTGATAGCTAGCACGTGACAGATATTAACCGAATACAAATTGGCTACCTATTCGGCTAGCGACCTATTCGACCGATCCAGCTGGCAACCTGTTCGTTGGCAACCTATTCAGAATAAATTCAACAGTCGCCCAAACTCATCTATTTTTATCAACCAATAAAATCCAACGTAACGTCTATCAAATGAAAGTAGAATATATTATCATTTATCCATTCCTTTAGCTCAGAATAGAGATGTAATTTCGCATTATCTTACAAAATTCTGGACATCCAACTAAATATATTCCGAAAGCTGATTAAATAAGCTTTCGAAATATTATTAGTAAAAGTTGGCACAATCATATTAAAGGGGTGCGCTCTCATTCTGAATAGGTTGCCAACGAACAGGTTGCCAGCTGGATCGGTCGAATAGGTCGCTAGCCGAATAGGTCGCCAATTTGTGTTCCCTTAATATCTGTCACGTGCCAGCTATCACGTGATGTAAACAATTAGCCATGTGGCTTAAATTGTGTCACAGTGTCCAGTTTAGAAACTTAATTTACACAAACGCGTTGTATATTATACCTTCAAAACACCGTAAGTTCTTGTTCTTAATATCCTAATAAAGATTACCTTTCATCGTTACTAGATCTTTTTTATTTGTACCAAAAATTAGATTGTCGACTTCATTGGACTTTGTAAATTGATTTCTTTTGTGGCGTGACAATTTCTCGTTGAAATGTTTAGGTCTACATGTTGTGTTCCACTGTCAACAGGGTAACCCAAATTTAGATCGAACCTGCTCCAACACTAATGCAAATGCCATTCGACCCTCAAGTACATAAATGACGTAAACAGCTCGTGGACAGGAAGCCTTTCTACACCAACAACCGCCCTGGTAGATCCAATCACATTATTTGTGCCAAATTACGATATGATATAATGTAACTCAGAGCTATAAATTAATATATTGATTAGTGTAAGACAACCTACATTGGCCGAGATAGTTCATCCGGATTTTCCGGCGTGATCTCCCCATGTCAGTGGTGCAGGACGGGGGGGGGGGGGGGGCTGACAAGGACGAAAAACCGAGGTCCCGTTACACATTGACGTGCACGTAAACATCCCTTAGCAGTTGGAATTCGATATAAGAGTAGACCATAGCCCTTCCCTGACGACATTTCCCTCATAGCACACTGTATGGCGTATACCTGTCTTTATTAGCCCAGTCGGAGCAGAACAGTAGGACGTTAAACCCCATTCCATTTCATTTATATGTCTGTACTTTAAATAAATGACAAATTACATTGAGCTACTGTTTGCCGTCGGTTTAAGACCAAACATTTAAATAATGTTATAGTGAACACCAGTACCAACATAATTACTTTAAATACTGACCCTATGCTTAATAACCCGGATGTCACAATATCAGTCGTTGTCTTGACCATTGTTGTCGTCATTATCCTCATCTCCATTACCATTGGGATGCTAATATATAACATAATGCCGCCAGTCAAAGACTGGGTGGTAATTATAAGAAATAATTAGTCAATTAGCTTATATGGCAATTTAGAGTGAAGATCAACAACAGTCTTAATGAGTTTTGTTACACCTGGTGAGGATTTTACACATAAGATAATGCGTTCCTTTCTAAATATACATACCTTTAAAATTGTTTAAAAAAATCCAACAAGCTATTAATAATAGAAATTTTGTTTTAAAATTTCAGCCCAAATTAAAAATGTGGCCTTAAATAAAGCAAGCGACCAGAGTTATACATATCGTGCGGCTGTATCATCTAGAGCTGTAGATGGTAATACTGATGCTGAATTTAATAGAGGATCGTGTACTCATACACAGCTTGTTTCTCCTGGTTGGTGGTGTGTTGATTTACAATACATCTTCAGTATCACCAACATTACAATATATAACAGAAATAACAGTAAGTATACAATATTTAACACTATATATCACAAACACCAGTAAATATATATATATATATATATAGAGAGAGAAATGGGGCTTAACGTCTACTCGACACAAACTAGGTCATTTCGGGACTAACATATGGTTTAATTTTATTTCATTAATTCGCTTGCGCGTAGGGGTCTTTAGCAGTGGGAGGAAACCGGAAGACCCGGAGAAAACCCACGAGGTTGGACAGGCGACCATACTCCTTGTCACGTACAACCGGGGAATCAAAACCACGCCAGTTGACTCAATGACAGACCTTATGTTACTTCGCACACGTGCTAACCATTCGGCCATCCAACTTAACATAGAACACCCAATGCCCATTCCGACAGCTTTATTTTCACGGGGTCACTTTTCATTATTTTGATACAGCTCGCACACGCTAACCATTCGCCCCCCCCCCCAGTAAATATACAATATAACCAATGCTACACTAAATAACAGAAATATTTCCCTCACAGCACGCTCCGTGGCGTATGTCCGTCTTCATTTAGCCCAGTTGGTGGAGAGAAAATGGATGTTAAACCCTATTTTTGTAAATTTCGTTATTCATTTCATACTCTTCTTGGTAGACATATTTGTATAATTACCAATCGGCAAACCTCGGCAGACTCCGGTGCCCTAAATCTAACTCGGCAGTATGACGAATTCTGCCATTGGAACCACTTTCAAATTCCCTGATTAAAAATGGCAACTCCCATGACGAAGATGCCAAAATAAATACACAATCTTGACTATCATACAAAGCTTTCAATGTCTGAAGCTTGTTTTCTTTCAAGTTGATCAGATTTTCTTTAAACAAAGGATAATTTTGCAATAAAATCTCTACAATTTTTTTCTAAAAGCAGCAAGTTTTCCTAATAAGTAAACCGGTAGCCGAGAAAAACTTACCGTCATACAGCTGAGGCTAGATGTAGGGTACTGAGTCTGCCAAGGTATGCCAAATGGGAAGTATACTTTATTATTTGTGTAATATGCTGCGATAAGCACAATTAAGAAGTATGTATTATAATTTTCAGATCAACAAAGATTACAAGCGTTTGAGATAAGGCTACGTTCTGATAATCAGTGTAATGGACAAGGACTTGTATCAGCTACATCATGTTATGTAAATACACCACCAACAGTACAAGATGTATATACTATAGATAGATGTAATCAACAACCATCTACATCTTTATCTGCTAGAACAGTGTTTATTAATACTACCGATACACTTACTTTGTGTGAAGTTGAAATATACGCAGGTGAGTTTCGTTACCGAGTTCACAAAGGATTCTCAGACTCAAGTTAAGAATTTACCCAACTTTCAATCACTGTTTATGAGAAATATCTTTGATTCAGAAAAACAAAACTTTGCACATAGTTTCTTATTGATGTATTTGATACATTAAAGGGGAAGACCAACGATTTTCAATAAGGTTTCCATAAATAATAAATATATATTTAGAAATAATCCCTCCTATAGCATATGCAAAAAATAATTTGTAAGCGATAAATTAATTTTTATTAATACCGGAAGTGACGTAGTTGGTTCGACACGCTCACTGGTCACTATAGTAAACATACAAATTTGGAGTAAGTTTAGCGCTGTATTTTGTGATCATTTCGCCGTTTGGCAGAAAATCTGATGAAAGGTAATCTTTATTAGGATATTAAGAACAAGAACTTACGGTGTTTTGAAGGTATAATATACAACGCGTTTGTGTAAATAAAGTTTCTAAACTGGACACTGTGACACAATTTAAGCCACATGGCTAATTGTTTACATCACGTGATAGCTGGCACGTGACAGATATTAACCGAACACAAATTGGCGACCTATTCGGCTAGCGACCTATTCGGCTATTCGGCTAGCGACCTATTCGGCTAGCGACCTATTCGACCGATCCAGCTGGCAACCTGTTCGTTGGCAACCTATTCAGAATAAATTCAACAGTCGCCCAAACTCATCTATTTTTATCAACCAATAAAATCCAACGTAACGTCTATCAAATGAAAGTAGAATATATTATCATTTATCCATTCCTTTAGCTCAGAATAGAGATGTAATTTCGCATTATCTTACAAAATTCTGGACATCCAACTAAATATATTCCGAAAGCTGATTAAATAAGCTTTCGAAATATTATTAGTAAAAGTTGGCACAATCATATTAAAGGGGTGCGCTCTCATTCTGAATAGGTTGCCATCGAACAGGTTGCCAGCTGGATCGGTCGAATAGGTCGCCAATTTGTGTTCGGTTAATATCTGTCACGTGCCAGCTATCACCTGATGTAAACAATTAGCCATGTGGCTTAAATTGTGTCACAGTGTCCAGTTTAGAAACTTAATTTACACAAACGCGTTGTATATCATACCTTCAAAACACCGTAAGTTCTTGTTCTTAATATCCTAATAAAGATTACCTTTCATCAGATTTTCTGCCAAACGGCGAAACGACCACAAAATACAGCGCTAAACTTGCTCCAAACTTGTATGTTTACTATAGTGACCAGTGAGCGTGTCGAACCAACTACGTCACTTCCGGTATTAATAAAAATTAATTTCTCGCTTGCAAATTATTTTTTGCATATGCTATAGGAGGGATTATTTCTAAATATATATTTATTATTTATGGAAACCTTATTGAAAATCGTTGGCCTTCCCCTTTAAAACAACACAAGTTTTATAAAGGGCTATAATTTAGTTAAAATATGGCTAACAATTTTGAGTAAATTCTTAAGTCTGAAAATGCTTTGTGAACTCGGGGCCAGTGTTTATCAGTGTTCGTTATATATTTACATTGTGTGAAGTTTATCCAATTTTCTAAGTGGGCTGTGATATTGAGAATGGCTGGGGTGTCAAACAGGAAAACGACATAGATGGTTCCTTTTGAATCTGTATAGCCCAATCTCCCCAACAGGTGGGGAATAAGAACCACAAATGCGAAATTTGTATTTCATCTTGTACTCATTTATTTCTGACTATATGTTGTCAAGATCTATAGCTACATGTATACCGAGATTAATTCACCCTGACACAAAGAGTATCTGTGCTGATTACTGTTTATAATATATCGCAACACTGTTGCATATATTTAATAAAACCAATTGACATACCCTCTCTGATTTAGGCAAAACATCAGAATGGTTTTCGAGGTTCATATCTTTTTAACGAACCCTTTTACCAACAGTATACAGTTAAAGCCAGAACACTTATTCGTCCTCCTATTCTTCCAAATCAACGGTGATTGTACATTCACTGGTTGTTGATAACTGTTTCTTTAATTAGTATTATAGTATATATTATATACTATAATATATACTATAATATTAATTAAAGATTTATACAGCTACAATAAATTATATTATTTATTATATTATATTTTATTGTAGCCGTATAAATCGTTCATTATTGTAAATACCGATATTTGGAAGTACAGTAACCGTACAAGGCCTGGGGGAGTTGGGTGGCCGAATGGTTAACGTGACAAGGAGTACGGTCGCCTTCCATCCTCGAATTATTGAAATAAAATTGAACTATATGTTAGTCCCGAAATGACATAGTTTGTGTCGAGTGGACGTTAAACTAACCCCCCCCCCCCCCTCTCTCTCTCTCTCTCTCTCTCTCTCTCTCATACCTGATACAGAAGAAAGTCGTATATTGATAGCCCTTTCATACAAAATAAATAATTATTTTTTCAGGTTGTAGAGTTGATGAAAACTGTCAATCTTGTAATACAACAACAGGTATCTGTGCCTCATGTAAAGCTCGTTGGTTTGGTACACAGTGTCTACAGCAGTGTTCTACATGTATGGTGTTATGTGATAAATCAAATGGTATTTGTAATGGCGGATGTATTGATGGTTATTGGGATAACTCGTGTCAACAACAATGTTCTAATAACTGTGATAATGGAGGATGTAGACAGGTAGATGGTTATTGTAATGGTGGATGTATTGATGGTTATTGGGATAACTCATGTCAACAACAATGTTCTAATAACTGTGATAATGGAGGATGTAGACAGGTAGATGGTTATTGTAATGGTGGATGTATTGATGGTTATTGGGATAACTCATGTCAACAACAATGTTCTAATAACTGTAATAATGGAGGATGTAGACAGGTAGATGGTTATTGTAATAATGGTTGTAAAGTAGGATGGTATGGAGATAAATGTGATAAAACATGTAATTGCTCTCAAAGTAAGATATATATATACTAACAATTTGCATTTACTGTTTCATGAATATAACCAAGACACGTAGGTTTAATTCTGAATAATAGTGAAACCGATACTGTTTTCAAACTGTCTACTGAGCTCTTCTATGTTGGAAATCTTGTTGAATCTACTCTATATGTAGCAAATGCTCTCTATTTGAGGCATCCCCGATTCAAATATTCCCGAAAGTCATCTGATACTTCGGCGAGAAATGCCCCGGAGGAAACTGTTTTCGCGGAAGCACCAGGGAAGCAGTCCCGAAGCTTCCCCGTGGATCTGGAAAGCTCCGGGGATGCAAGCATTGAAATTTTTCGCAGTTCTCCAGAGGCGATGTTCTACCGATAGTCCCACATGGCTCACGACGTTACCGACGCCTCCCGAGGCTCATCAATTTCCATCGGTAGTAGTAGTTCGTGGATTTTTAAAAAATAATGCAGCATTTACTGGCAGCACGTATTCCGAAATGTTTTCCGCGTTCCATATACATGTACATGTATTCCAATTTCGATAATCCGATTGTCCATGAAATTCAGTTTTATTTCCACAATTTTCTAACTTTTTGGTTACATCTGGGTTCACGGAAAATCAGTGCTGATAACTTTGAATTCCAAAGATATTGAGAAGAGAAAGGTAAATGTGGGAAGATAATATTGAAAGGTACTAGTATAATACATTGGAAGTAATGTCTGGTAGGAATGTATGACTTGAAGGATCGTGAAATGGAAGGAGTATTGTAAAATAAGTATTGGACGTTGTGCATGGGATGGTAAGCAATTGAACAATAAATAAGGAAAGCTAAATATTTGTAAGTAAGTATTAGAACAAATTATTGAAATTGTTGAAGGTCGCTCAGACAAGGGCGATCTTAAATGTGAATGACTTTCATTAATAACAACAGGTCATGCATTGCCTGCCAGTCCATTTGGTAATTTTGAGATTATGTTTATTCATGAACACGATTGTCATAAAAAGTGTGGTAATGTTGCGGTATTACGCGCTTTAAATCTTGTAAATCTTGACTTGTGCCGACTATAATGGAAGTGGAGCTTGGTACAAATCGTCATAGAAATATAGTTGATACAGGACACTTCAGAACATGAATATCTTTATCTTTGGGGTCTGTTGATGTTCCTCCTGGGTGTATCGACGGTATATTAAAAATATTAAGCTGCTGAAGACTTTGAAGAAGGTTCTGATAGACTCTATTATATCTCCTTTGATGACAGGTGGGTGATTTTTATTGATTCTAGTTTTGTGATCTGCTTTTATTACTGCTGTGTGATCTGGTTGGTTGACTGAAGTTGAGTGGTATGCTTGGATGCTAGTTTTGTGACCTCTTTGGGCGACCTCTTTTGATGGAAGTTGTATGATCTCTTTGCATGGTTACATTTGTTGCTTGCTTTGTGATATCCGTGAATGACTGTCATGAGATGTCAAGTTGCTTGACCTCATTGGGTGAATGTTGGATGATTTCGTTTGATGTTAGTTCTATGATCTCCTTGGTAGCTATTCATTGACTGTATTTGTTGCTGAGTATGTGATATCCATGAATGATTGTCAGAAGATCCCCTAGGATGGCTGTTTGATGATCTATGTTCGTGCAAGTTGTGTGATTTCCTTGGGTGAGTGTGGGGTGCTCTCTTTGGATTCCGGTTGTGTGTTCCTCTTGGATGACTATTGGAAAATATCTTCCGTATATTGATGACTTTTGGGGATTTCCTTGAAGGACTGTTGTGTGACCACCTTGGATGCTATCAGCTGGGTTGATTGTAGTGGGATAGAATTATCTTTGTTTCAGGGATGTTATGGTGTTTACATCTTTTTGCCGTATATTTATTGACATCATCTGTTTTACAATCGATCTTTCGTGTTAGTGTTAAGTAGAACAGGACAATGCGCAGGCTCACCACCATTGTAAATACTGCTTTCACCAGAAGTAAATGAATAGTAAGCGACTAAATATCATTTTTCGACGCACATTTGAAAGTGAAATTGTCCAAGTGCTCGCACTCGTAAGTCAAATATTCCCTTATATCAATCCGAGGGAGAGAAGGTTTATATCCGACATCATAGTTTTAATCCTTAAATTCAATGGACTCTTCCATTAAAAGTCAACAACGATTGGATAATTGCTCAATAGTTTACGCCAAATAGCGAAAATTTCCGAAGTAATCACGAGAATCTTTTCCGATAATTCTGATAGTGACCCTTGAGGCTTTTCCGTATGTTCAGAGAAGGATTTGACGGACTGTGTTAAGTGACTATACCCCAAAAAATACTTTACAAAGGAACTCTTGGGCTATTTGGACTAGAAGTCTTGGGGTATGTGGAGAAATAATCGAAATGTGGCCGAAAAGAAAATTCTGAATAACCGATCTAAATATGCCGATAAGTACGCCGTCTATTTCGGTGATGAATGCTACAAACTGTACCATAAAAAGTTTCTAATTGTCAAAAGAATAAAAATTGATTTCTGTGTTCTTTGTATTATTTCGATCATCAACGTCATCAGCGGTTGATATGAACCGAATAACTATATCAATCTATGATGATGTCATGACAGGTTGATAAGAGATATAACTTCTATGCACATTAAAGAAAAAACTACCGCCAGTTGTATATAAATATCAACATGCTCTTACACACTGCACGCATGACTAAGATCATTTATTTTAATGTCCGTGAACGATTATATATCACCCCTGCATAATTATATGACATGAATGTTATTTAAAGGGTTTTGAGCAGGCCTGAGATAGTAGATCGTAAACTCGTGCTCTGCTACAGTTGGGCCAATTGTGAAATTGGTCAGCATTCAGATTAACCGAGGTTATACTGTGGAAAGAATAAGAAGAGGGAAAGAAGTTTGAGGTAAAAGAGAGAGAGAGAGAGAGAGAGAGAGAGAGAGAGAGAGAGAGAGATGGGGTTTAACGTCCACTCGACACAAACTAGGTCATTTCGGGACTAACATACGGTTTAATTTTATTTACATAATTCGCTTGCGCGTAGGGGTCTTTAGCAGTGGGAGGAAACCGGATTGAGGTAAAAGAATAGATTATGTAAAGTGAAATTATTATATTACAAAAATATCTTGCTTAAGTTTTGATACACAGTTTAATTTGTTGTTTTTTGGTGCGATAATCGGGACAGTCATGCAGTTACGGCCTAGAAGACTTTTCCGGGTCACCTTTTTCTGGAACATTAAGGTCGCCTTCTAGGTAAGCACTACACAGTTCCGGTCAGTATATTTTCGAGAGCTTAATTCTTGTAGCTTTATATTAATTAAAATAATGAGATTTTGTCAGGTTTATTAATCGCGAGTAATATATAAAATATGCTATGAAGAAACCAGTTAGCGTTACATATGTAGTTTATTATATATATATATGTTTAAATCAGGGTATATATTATTATGATGATGTAACCAAGCGTATCGGGCGCTGAATAACTCAAAAGAATATATTTTAAAACTAAATTGAGAATAGTAAGACGATATTGTCGTTGTACCGTAGAGCTTCAATTGTGGGGTGACGTTGCAAATCTGATCCATTTTCCCCTGATGCGTTCTGAATAGAAATGAAAGGAAATGAATGGAGTTTAATGTACAATCAACACAATACTTCGGTCATTTTGAAACTAACACGTACCATTAATTTATAGTCACGCGTGCAATGCTAGAGAGGAGACGTTTGCCCGGGTACCGGCGTTTCCCCCCTTACTATTCGTCAGATTCTAGGTGTTAAATGCTGCGCTTTTGCAACTAACATGCATCGACCATTTTTATACTCATGCGTGCAATGCTAGAGAGGGGAATTTTTGCCCGGGCACTGGCGATTTTAGATGTTAAATACTGCACTTTAGACCGATGCTTTACGACGTCTTTATACACTAATACACCCAAAGATAGTGCGATTAAATCGGTATTTGTTACTTACTCATATTTATGTTTCAGTAAAAAGTGTTGATGATTGTCTAAACCTGTAAACAGTCTACAAGTCAGAGTTTATGACAGGTGTTTTCATTTTGGCAGTAAAATAATTATATTATTAAATATTTTCGGTGTTATTAATTCATAGTATGAATTGTTATATTCTATTAATAAATCTTTTTTTATTCTTTTTGAAAAATTATCCTGTAATTTAATTCTTAGATAAGGATTTTTAAGACATTAATGTTTTTAGTTTTTTCAATCAGATATGTGATAAGTTTGTAGATTGTAAATGAAACGATAGTTCAAATTAACATGTGTTTTCTTCAAACTTTGTGTTGGGAGGGGGGGGCGGGGGCGGGGACGAATCATCGGGAGGGATCTTGTCTTATTGTATACATAGCCTCCGACCATGCCCTGGAAGCTAGAAATTCACTTATTAAAAAAACCCTGATAATCGTTGACTGACAATGCTATGTGTTAAAATCTATTCAGACACGCCCAGAAGACAAATAACCACACCTTTACTCTTACCCATTCCTTAATTGAAAAGTAGCTTTTCATTTCAGAAATATTACCAGAATGGCAGATGAAGATATTCCCGTTGTTTCTCTAACAGAATATATGTTTTCTTGGTTTGATAAATATGCTGATGATATTGCCATGGTAAGTTAACCTGTATTTATCTGATGATATAAAACAGCAAAGCTAAATATATCTAACCACAGAGAAGTTACAACACTTACATCGAAATTTGGTGGTATATTGCCTTCAGTCCAGCTGTCGTCCATCGTTTGTTAAATCACTTATAGTAGAATCATGGGAATATTATTATCGAATCGGCTTGGTATTTTTTAAAGCATTGTTCAAATTAGTGAAATTATAAAGACGTATATAACATCAAAAGTTTTTATCTGAACTACGTTAAATTCATGTTCTATGTTTCAAGTCTTATCAAATTACATAAATTTATGAAAATATCTCCTGGCGTCACCGACCTTTTTATATGTTGTAGATTTATTTTTAAAATTACAATACGGGACTTTTAAGAGCTAAAAATACCGATTTTATTTCAATTGTGCAGCTCGCTCACTAAAGTACCTATATACTGCTGATGTACAGACCAGTGGACGTTATCCTAAAAGAATTACAAACATTAGTACTCATCAATATCGGAGCGACAGCGAACCCAAAACGTATCGTTGAGTCCGATTTATTATCCAAGGGCGACAAATGTAAAACGTGATCTCATTTGCGTATTCAAACTCCCAGGTGTACTTTTACGCGTACACTAGGCCCATTCGAAGGGGTATATTAGAGGCATACATCCTCATGTGGTCCTGATTTCGCCCCAGAAATTTCATTAATTATAGTTTGCTTAATTACAGGTTGAGTTAGACACAGAGAGAAGTGTGACGTATAAAGAATTAAAATGTCTGATTATAAAAGCATCGAATGGTTTACAATCTATAGGAGTAAAAGAAGGAGATGTTGTTTGTATGTGTTCACCTAATAATATTGATTATGCTGTTGTTTTCTTCGCCGTGACGTCGTTAGGTGCTATTTTACAGGCAACAAACCCACTTTATACAAAGGTAAATTTCTCAAGAAATTAATGAATGCCGTATTAAACGATATGTATAATATTAGTCATTATGTATACTATGTATTTAGAAGGAAATATTATCTGTAACAGCAATGAAATGAAAAGGGAATTTAGCGGCCAACTTGTATGCTTCAACGGGTTTAGTTTTGTCCGGATATCGGCGCTATATACGTCCTACTCTTATTTCGAATTAGAATTAACGCACATGGTCGTTTACGCGCCCACCTGTGTAGACGGGACTTTGGGTCTTCGTCCTGTCCAAACGACAAGACCATGTTCCTTGCCAGAACCTCCGCCTGGCTCCGACGCAGGAAAACCAAAGAACTTCCTCGGTCAACACTGGCATCGCACCCAAGAATTCTTGAGAACAAAAATTAATTCCTACAGATAATATTTTCAGTTTGTTATTTGAAAGGAAGGGTTTGAACTGAATCAACATCATTTAAATCAAGACATTTCTTACCTTTAAAGTATTTCGTATCTTTAAATAATTTTTTTTATAACAATGTATTTCTTACCTTTAAATTATTATATCAAAACATTTATTCTCTTACCTTTAAATCATAATATCAATACATTTCTTGTCTTACGTTTTACTCTCCAAAACGTACAGATGAATTGGTGGCCCAGTTTGAGAAATGTAAAACCAAGTATATAGTAACAGTACCAAGTCTGGTTGATAAAATTAAAGAAAGTATAAACAACAACATTAAGGTAAAACGCCTCTGCCATTGTCATCAAGTCTTGCTGATCAAATTAAAGAGAGTAAAAACAATAACGTTACTGTAAAAAAAACTACTACGAGTTATGAGCTTGGTATTTAAAACATCTGTGAACTCGTCTACTTTTATCGATTTTCTTGATCTGATAGCTGATAGTCTTACCTCGTCGGTTTTCTGCCAGTCCCCCTATTTCCCCCATTGCTAAAGGCCCCTACACACCATCCTCGGTTTCTCCAATGACCTCATTCCGTTCTATGTTTTTATGCCAGTTTTTATGTATTTAACGATTTTGGATTGGTCGATAAAAATAGCACAATCATCAAGGACAGATAATTTTAATATGTGCCCCCTCCCCTCCGCCATGGCTGACCTAGGGGTTAGTGGAGTGGAACGGAATGAGACCACTGGTGATACCGATGATACCTACACACAAGCAGTTTATTGAAATACAATTGTAAGATATTACGGTCCAGGTATGAGTAGCGATAGACACTGGATGATCAATTTTTATTCGACTTTAAGCTCCCTTGAACTTACGCCCTGGGTGGAAATTATGTTGAAATTCAGGTCTCTTTAATTTCTGTTTCGACGGGTTTATAGAAATTTAGAATCATTCGTGCACTATCCACTTTGCTTCATTTTCAGGACATAATAGTAATAGGCGGAGGAGACAAATATGAAAACTGTAAATCACTGGAGAAAGTTATCTCCCTTGATGAAGGCATGGATCTGAAGAAGGCGACCTTTAACCCTAAGAAGACTGTAGCATGTTACGTATTTTCTAGTGGAACAACGGGTTTACCTAAAGCTCTTCAATTATCACATTACAATATAATTGCTAATCTCGTACAATTAAGGTAGTTATAAATATATACTATCAGATATTCAATATCCTAATCTGGAATCTTTTATTTACATGCAATACTATCGACATTTTAGGCAATTAATCAAAGTTCGGTATCCAATCCGGAATCCAATTTTAGTTATTGGTATACAATTTTAATTCCCGGTGCACATCACATAAACCGGTCAAAATGTCAGAAATGTGGTTATGTACATCCTAGAAACCATCCAAGATATATTTATGAAACTTTATAAAATCTTGTTTTCTAGAACGGAACATGTAATTTTAGTGTCTTTTCATACTTTGGTAGAGTACAAGGGGTGATGGTAGTTGCGCTTGTAAAGTCCCTATCATTAAAACACATATTCCTCGAATAAAAGTCTGGATGGGTTGTCAACATTTGAGAATATTTAGTTTATTGGTTAGATTATCCGGTCTTTAATGTTACCATGTACGAATTCTACCTTTTTCGGTCAGAGAGCGTATATGACAAGGGAGGTAAATAGCCACGCCTTTGAATTTAATTAAAGAATTGCCATTGCATTGCCTGTACAACATCCAACACCTGAAAGTTTTTTTTAATTCTAAAACTGGTCTCTTCAAGGATCATATCTATGGCTTTTATTAACCAAGATTCGTCGTCACGATTCATGTTTGTTTATAATAATGCATGAATTAGGGGATTTATTTCTCAAAGGGCGCAACCCTTTCTTGACTTTAGATAAAAAATTCCACTGCCCATGCCTAACCGGAAGTTTAGTTTTTATGTGGTTGGTTAATTCCGTAAAATATTTCTTCAATTGTGGGCAACTGACCCAGTTTGTTAAGAACCCAATTCAGATCGATGCCTGATGTACAAAATTAATATTTGGTTCTTGATTACCAATAACACAGAGATTGTCTTTCTGAACAATTACGCGGAATGTTAATGACTGAGTCTTCCTGTATTTCTTTTATTACAGAGCGATGTCGACCGTAGACACAAAAGAATCTATTTTAGTATTTCTACCATTTTTTCATATTTACGGATTAGTTGCTATTACTGCAAGTGCTCTAACGTATGGTGCTAAATTGGTTGTGATGTCCAGGTTTTCTCCATTACCATTTATGGAAGCTATTCAAAAACATCAGGTAAGCAAGGAAGCCGATTAGCTTCTCGTGTCGCTTCTTATAGCTTCACCTTTTTCATTCCTTGCCTTCGCGGTGTTAACGTATAGCGAAGTAACGACGGAGCGGGATTAGGACCATTTGTCGCGGCTTCTTCACCGTTTGTAGTTAAGACAAGAAGGAGCGAAGTGGTACTTACGGGTTTGTAAGTGATTTAGACCTATAACCAATTTGTAGATTAGTGAAATTGCGATGATAAACTAATCATTAATTGAATCTCGATACAATTCTAAGTTAATGAATATAAAAATCAATGTTACATCCCATCCGAACTACTAGACATTGTTCCTTGCCAGCCCCCAGTCCTGTGCGACTGACATGGGGAAACCACACCTCGAAATCCTGAGGACCTTGCTCGGCCAACACTAGGATCGAACTTCCCAGGTTTGCAGTTCAGCTCCATATTCACTGAGCAGCCGCGGCTCCTACAAGTCTGGAATTACATTTTATATTTGGTTTACAGATAACATTCATACACGTGGTTCCTCCAGTAATGGTGTTATTAACTAAATTACCAGAAACTAAAAATTATGATTTAACGTGTGTTAGGGTAGTTGCCTGTGGAGCGGCTCCTCTAAGTAGGACTATCGAAGAACAAGTGAAAGATATTTTCAAGGTCAACTACATTAGTCAAGGTATGTGACTGTCGGGTTTTCTTTTGTTTGTCTGTTCGGGGTTGGTGGCACCACTAGAGCTGTCCCGAGACTGAAACGTTGCATATAAGGGCACACCTCGAACCGGGGAGTGACATAGGCCGGGTGGTGCATCACTACTGATTATAGTTCCGAACTTAATCTGCCTGTGCAGTGCCTGGTCAACCGCTAGTTTATATATAAAGTTGACTATTTTTGCTGTTGTTATATAAATTGTTTTAAATAATTAAATATAGAATTTTTTTAAAAAGAATCATGCAATTGTTCAACTAGTTAACGGATGTCATCTCCTTTCTATTCTACATAAGTTTTCTATTGATTCAAAGGACCTGATTAGTATCCGCTGACATCGAGGCCATGGCATTATCTAAACTTTAATGTTTGTATTAATATCTAAATAAGAATTTTATTGGCCTGCTGTCCAATTTGAGCTGAACAAAAATGTTTTAAAGTCGTCGCGCCCATTTTATGAAGTGTGCAAGAGGTTACGTACACAGTACACTTGAGTTCAATAGAGTTACGTGTATGTGGTAAAACGAAATGAAATGAAATGGGCTTTAACGCCCTTCTGTTATACCCCGATTGGGCTAATGAAGACGGACATACGCCATGCAGTGTGCTATGAGGTAAATTATGCACGGACAGGGTTATGTAGTAAAGTAGAGTTATATCGTTAAATATTCTATTTACGTTTAAATGTTCTGTTTACATGGACGGAATTTCAAAAGAAACGGTAAATCTCTTTGATCTTTGGGGTATATTCTTTGGATATATACAGGGGAATTTGGTGTTATTTTTTTGAAAGTTTTTCTTTAAACCTGTAACGGGTTACTCTTCCAAGAAAACATGATATAAGGTTTTTCGTACTGGAATTCTGGGATATTTTCATTTTACATCCATGTAAACATAGATATTTAAAAGTAAGATAAAATCCTCGACTTCGGTTATGCTGGGGAAGAAAGACTTCAGAAAAAACCCTCGATAGAAAAACCTCGGCCTGCTGGCCTCGGGTTTTTCTTTTTCTCGGGTTATTTTCTTCAGTCTTTCTTTCCCCAGCTTAACCTCAGTCTCATGCCTTATCCTACACAAAGAGTTTATTTAATTTGAATGTACCACATTTTATTACGGTGACAATACAAATTGTATTTAATATGTTACAGGATATGGTATGTCTGAATGCATTGTAACGCATGCAGATACAGAAGAGAATCATAAATTCGGTTCAGTTGGACAAGCTATAAAGGGAATCAAAACAAAGGTAAAAGCTTTTGGTTGACCAGATTCCTCAAGCAAAGGCCCGAGCTTTAAAGAGAGTGTGTCCATTCTACCCGTTTAATCAAATCTATCCCAAGTACAGCAACATGACGGCCCTTCGTTTAATCTCGGGTCTTCCCTAAAACTTTGGACAGTGATTCAAGGTATTAAAAATGGTTAAAGTATTGTTCGTCTCCAAACAGTAATTTTTACATTGTAGTCGTTTGATAGCCTCGTTTGTCACACAATTGGTTTTTCTGCAATATTCTGTTATGCACTGGTTAATTGGGCGTTATAAATTTCGTGAGTCATCACGTAACGTTATGTAAACATATTTGGTCCAATCTGGAGCTCTGTTTAAAGTCGAATGATATTAGTCCACAGTTACTTATTGGTTGTTAATCTATTACAGCAGTGTTAAGTGGGATTAGGTCTAATCAAACGAACACGACGAGGAGTATGTTGGTTGACAGGTGTCGGTAAAGAAAATCGTATTATATTGCCATGGAAACACAACACTGGGCAGCATACAAGGGTTGGGTAGGGGTGGGCCGACTATTATAATTTTTTTCTTTTTTAATACCTCTGAAAATGACCAAAGTTGTGTTGACGCAGCGTTAAACCCCATTCCATACATTCGGTTACTAAGGTCACAGGCTTTCAGATAGTGTATTTTTTACCCAGGTATTACATACACATAGCATCAAAATTATATGAAATTGTGTGAAAATATATTAAGAGTTATACAAATTATTTGAACGCCAGCATCTCTCTAGTAAATTATTATATTTCCTCAGATTATTGATACAAAGACAGGAGAACCACTTGGTGCAAATCAAGATGGAGAAGTTTGTATCCAAGGACCACAGATAATGCTGGGATATTTGGATCAACCAGACGCAACAGCAGCTATTATTGATAGTGATGGGTGGCTTAAAACAGGTAATATTACGTCATGGTTCTAAGTGGTGGAATTTTCCAATACTGTGTTTTTCAAGACTTACTCCACGCTAAATTGATTATTTTAGTCAAAACGGCATAACAAAAAAAAACCCCAAAAAACAAAAAAAAAAA